TTTTTTTTTCAAACGCCCCGGTTTGGCCATGGGGATAAAACTGTCTGCGAACATGGGATTGATGATGCATACGAATGAAGGAGTGAGTGGGTGGGTGAGTGGGTGAGTGAGTGAGTGAGTGAGTGAGTGAATAAGTTGCTCGGGAGAGAGAGAGAGAAGAAACATGGTGATATAGCTTGTCATGATCAATTTTAGCATTCAACCCTTTTGATATATGCGGTTTTCTTTCTTTCTTTCTTTCTTTCTTTCTTTCTTTCTTCTAGTCTGGACATATTTATCGTTGCTGTCGTTATACTTGGCCATGTCTCTTTAGTTGTGTGTGTGTGTGTGTGTTTGAGAGAGAGAGAGAGATAGAGACTGTTCAGCGCGTGGCTTTGCAGGTCTTTATAGGGCTTGCAGGTCTTTATAGGGCTTGCAGGTCTTTATAGGGCTTGCAGGTCTTTACATGGCTTGCTCTGCATATCCCTCTCATACATCCTCTCTTGTTTCCCATACAACCGCCCATTTATTGCGCCCTCTGCAAGCAACCCTTGTCAATCGTCTTGGGCCACCGCCACTCGTTCTTCGTCATGCGCCGTAGTATGTCCTCCAATACTCCAGCATACATCTTCACTGTATAAGATGCTAGCACTCATCCTCTCCTTCATCATAGCCTACCGCCGTCCCAAATTACCAAACCCAAATCCCCCAGCCCCCCTCTTGCTGCTCCTCGTTACTCGGCCGCTACCACCCTCGTCGTCAATGTCCATAGCATCGTCGCCCATGAGATTCCGCTTGCCCGTGTTCTTGTCGTCAGTAGCTTGCATGGCGGCTTCAAACCCCCGCTCCTTCTTCCTCCGCAGCTTTTCCCGGTCCACCGCCTCCTGCCTGACCTTTGCAACTTGCGCCTCGAGATCAGCGAGTGCCGAGTCGCACCGCTGCGACCATGACTGCAGGGTATTCTGGAGGGCAGGCAGAGAGCCGGGCGAGAGATCGCGGAGCGGCGATATCGACGTGACCGAGACGAGCGAATGGGCGGGGTCGAGCGTCGCTGTGATGAGGCCCGAGTAGATGGCGGTGGTGATGAGTTCCTCGAGAGCGCGGGGCGTCGGCAGCTCCAGCGCCGTCATAAGGTGCTTGTACGTCAGGGTTGCATGCGAGTGCGACAGCGGCAGCAACGACAGAAGCAAGAGCTTCTGGTGCTGCTGGGCAGAGAGTTTGGGGAGATTGGCTTGTGCTGCTGGCTGACTGTCAGTGGGAAGCTTTCCATGTGTTGCAGCAGACGCACCCTTGTAGTCGGCCCAGGTCCCCCAGGCAAAGATCTCGAGCAGCGCCAGATACGGGGCGTGCTCTTCGGAAGCCCTCAGGTTCTGGATATTCGGCGTCTGCAGCAGCTCGGCGAAGACGTATGTGTTGGGCGCGCTCGTGGCTTGCACAATCAAGTCAGATGCGGCTCGTGGGGACGTGGCTGACTTGCTCAGGGCGAGAAAGGGCTCGAGAGCATTGAGGGCCTTGGTCTGCTCCATGGCGAGCAGAGCGTGGGCGCGGGGATTGCTGTTCGGTTGGCCGTGCTGGTGGACAGCGAGTCGATGGCCTGGTGGATCGAGGCGAGCAAGCTGGAGATGCTCCAGGCAGGCGCGGCCGTGGTCGTGGTCGCGCTTTCCCCGCCAAACGGTCGGCTGCCCCACTTCAGCCTCGACACCCACGAGCCAGAGCCAGAGCCTCCTCGCCTGCCGACAAGCCAGGACACGCCCACGCCAATGGCATTTCTTCTTCTCCTCAATCATCGTCTCGCTCCAGCACCTGCACCTGGCAATATCCAACACAGCCCGCTTGAGTCGACGCCTGTTTCTTTTGGCTGCCGACACAGCCATATTGAATCCGCCACACGGACATGCAATTTCGTTAGCAGTCTGGGCACGCCACTGAATCCTGCACGCCGCAGACAAAGATATCCATCTGAGTATATGCTGACGCGCAGTGCAACACCGCCCGCCAGACGGTGAGCCGCAGTCGAGGCCACATCGCATCGCTGACGGGCTGATGTGCGGTCGCTGCGACGGTGTGAAGCGCCCGCCAGCCACAAGTGGCAAGTGGAGCGCGTTGCTTCCAGCTGCATGTCCTATCCTCAGGTGTCTCGTATGACACGAGAACCTGAGGCCCCACTCGTCGCACCTGAGCTTCACATGCGCGCGTTATCGACTTGCGCTCGTTTCAGACGGCCGAGCAGAAACACTCTGGCCCGTCGAGCCGCGCTGATTGCGAAGAGCCTCACCCGGCCGACGAACAGACGGTCACAGGTGCACCAAGCATATTGACCTCTGGACATCTTGCTATCACTACTTATTCCTTGCTTACGCATCCATCCACACATCCTGTCCCTGCATCGCGAGGGCGCCGCCCGTACTACCGCCTGCTAAACTTGGACGCCGACGCCTGTGCGCTCTGGTGTTTGCGGCCTGTCATCCCCGCCGTGCCGGACTTTATTCAGCACTAGTACGACTGAGCCTGTCGCTGCCCGCTGCTCAATCGCCATACTTATTAATTAATCCCCCGCCCTCGGAAACTACCCGAAGCTGGCCTTCTTCCTCGTCCTGCCCGCGTCGCCGCCCTCCGAGCTCCTCCGCGCGGCCACCTGGCGCGACAATACGGCTGCAATTAAACCTTGTGTCAGCCGCCGTCTCTTGCCACCTCGTACTATCTACGCTCGCCCCCCCCCTGCTCGAATGCCTGCGTATTCAATCCCGACTTCTTACTACAACCTGACTTAGACGACACCACGAACACTCCCACGAGCCGACATGGCTCCCCCGGCATCTGCCCCCGCGCACATGGCGACAATGACACTCAAGATTGATGGAATGACATGCGGCGCATGCACCTCGGCCATCGAGTCTGGTTTTCAGGGCGTCAAAGGGGTTGGAAATGTGTCGATAAGCCTGGTAATGGAGCGGGCAGTGGTACAACATGACCCTAATGTCATTACGACGGATGAAATCAAGGAAATCATCGAAGACCGAGGATTTGACGCAGAGGTGCTGTCGTCGGACTTGCCAATGTCGCATAGCGCAGACGACCATTTTCTGAGCGACTCGGAGGACGAAGAAGAGGACGTGGCTGGAAACATCGCAACCACCACCATATCAGTAGGCGGCATGACCTGCGGCGCATGTACTTCTGCAGTCGAAGGCGCATTCAAGGACGTAGCTGGGCTCAAATCGTTCAGTATATCACTTCTCTCGGAGCGTGCTGTGATTGAACACGACCCTGCAGTCATCTCTGCAGAGAAGCTGGCAGAGACAATAGAAGACGTTGGCTTCGACGCCGAGGTACTGGATACCGTGGCCACGACCCCCGCACACAAGAAGAGCAAGAGCCGGAAGCAGCAAAAGACCATGACTACCACTGTTGCCGTTGAGGGCATGACATGTGGTGCCTGTACGTCAGCCATCGAGGCTGGATTCAAGGATGTGGATGGCGTGCACCAATTCAACGTCAGCTTACTCGCCAATCGCGCCGTCGTCATGCATGACCCTTCGAAGCTCACCCCGGACCAAATCGTGGAGATTATCGAAGACCGAGGCTTCGATGCCCAGGTGATTTCGTCTGTGGATGCCAATGTACAGCAGTCGGCATCGAGCAATGCACCCGTGCAGCTCAAGATCTATGGACTCCCCAATGCCAGCGCTGCCCAGGAACTCGAGGGTCTCCTGAGAAAGCAATCTGGAATCAAATCTGCAACAATCAACTTCAACACGTCGAGAGCCACCATTCAGCGAGAGCCGCAGCTTGTCGGTATCCGCGCCATTGTCGAGGCGGTCGAAGCGGCAGGCTACAATGCACTTGTCGCGGACTCTGAAGACAATGACGCACAGCTCGAGTCCCTCGCCAAGACAAAAGAGATCCAGGAGTGGAGGCGTGCCGTCATATTCTCTGCTTGGTTCGCTGTGCCTGTATTCCTGACGAGCATGTTCATTCCCATGTTTTTGCCATTCCTCAACTTTGGCGGCATTAAGCTGATTCCAGGACTCTATCTCGGCGACGTCATCTGCCTCGTTCTTACCATCCCGGTCCAATTTGGTATCGGAAAGCGATTCTACGTGTCTGCATACAAGTCGATGCGCCACGGCTCACCTACCATGGACGTGCTCGTGGTGCTCGGTACCTCGTCTGCCTTTTTCTTCAGCATCTTCTCCATGCTGATATCGCTCCTGATTCCTCCCCACAGCAAGCCAACAACACTGTTCGACACTAGTACCATGTTGATCACCTTTATCAGTCTGGGTCGTTACCTTGAGAACAGCGCCAAGGGTCAGACTTCCAAGGCGCTGTCTAACCTCATGTCGCTGGCTCCGTCGATGACCACCATCTACGCCGACCCTATCGCCGCTGCCAAGGCCGCTGAAGACTGGGATGCCGACGAAGAGAAGCTGGAACGCCCATCGGTGGATGGAAATGCTGCTGAAGAACGGTCCATTCCTACAGAACTCATTGAAGTCGGTGACGTGGTTATCCTTCGTCCTGGCGACAAGCTCCCTGCTGACGGCACGGTGACGCGTGGAGAGTCGTACCTCAACGAGAGCATGGTCACGGGAGAAGCTATGCCCATTCTGAAAAAGAAAGGCTCTCTGGTCATGGCTGGAACTGTCAATGGCAACGGCCGTCTGGAATTTGTCGTCACTCGAGCCGGTCGCGATACGCAGCTCAGTCAGATCGTGCGTCTGGTTCAGGAGGCTCAAACCAGCCGTGCTCCCATCCAAAGACTGGCTGATAAAGTTGCCGGATACTTTGTTCCAATCATCATCACTCTCGGTCTCGCCACTTTCGTTGGATGGATGGTCCTCAGCCATGTCCTTCCCTACCCTCCCAAGGTCTTCCTCGACCACGCCAGTGGCGGCAAATTCATGGTCTGCGTCAAGCTCTGCATTGCCGTCATCGTCTTTGCGTGCCCATGTGCTCTTGGCCTTGCCACGCCTACGGCTGTCATGGTTGGTACTGGTGTTGGCGCGGAGCAGGGCATTCTCGTTAAGGGTGGCGCTGTGCTGGAGACTGCAACCAAAATCAAGCACATCGTCTTCGACAAGACTGGTACGCTTACTGTCGGTCAGATGAGCGTGTCCCAGGCCAATATTCAGGGCGAGTGGGCAAGGGCTGACAAGAAGCATCTCTGGTGGACACTTATCGGACTGGCTGAGATGGGCTCTGAACACCCGATCGCCAAGGCTATTGTTCTTTCTGCAAAGGAGCATCTCCGTCTGGGACCTGAAGACAGTCTGGATGGCTCCGTTGGTGACTTTGAGGCTGTCGTTGGCAAGGGCATCACGGCAACAGTCGAAGCAGCCCTGTCGCGCGAGCGCACACGGTACAAGGTTTTGATTGGTAACACTGCCTTCCTTACCTCGGAGGGTGTGAATGTGCCCGATTTTGTCGAAGAGCCACTGACGCCATCCGCCATGGCCAACCCCCGAGGCGGTCGATCACAATCGGCTGGTACTACGACGATTCACACGGCTATTGGCAAGACATACACGGGTACCCTCAGCCTGTCGGACACCATCAAGCCCTCGGCTCGCGCATGTGTGCTCGCACTGTCTCGCATGGGCATCAAGTCATCGATTGTCACTGGCGATACCTCTGCCTCTGCCCTGGTTGTCGCAGCCGCGGTCGGGATCGACCCTGCCGATGTCCATGCCTCGTCTACGCCCGGCGACAAGAAAGCTATTGTGGAAGACCTCCAGTCTCGTGGAGTGGTCATTGCCATGGTTGGCGACGGCATCAACGATTCTCCCGCCCTCGCTGCTGCGGATATTGGTATTGCCCTTTCTACCGGTACAGACGTAGCTATGGAGGCTGCCTCGATTGTGCTCATGACGCACACGGACCTGCTGGCTATTCCCGCGTCCCTTGTCCTCAGCCGCGCAATCTTCTTCCGCATTAAACTCAACCTTGCCTGGGCTTGCATGTACAATTTTGTTGGTCTTCCGTTTGCCATGGGCTTTTTCCTTCCTTGGGGCCTGTCGCTGCACCCCATGGCGGCTGGCGCGGCAATGGCATGCTCGTCTGTTAGTGTGGTTGCCAGCTCTTTGCACCTCAAGTTCTGGAACCGGCCTAGCTGGATGAAGGTGAGCGTCCTGGACCCCAACGCTCCGATTGACGAAAAGGACCTGGAGATGGAGAGGCAAGGTCGCAAGGGTGTGTTTAGCTTCGTGAAGGAGTGGATCAGTGATGCATGGGCGGCTAGGAGGAGAAAGAAGGAAGAGGCTAGCTACATGCTCCTGAGGGACATGGGAGAGCATTGAGGTGGGCGGGCGCATTTGGGTGGTGTTGGATAGACGGAGTCGAGACAGCGACTGTTGCTGTGTTTGCTGGAGAAGCATTCAGGATACCACTGGTTTTTTATTATTTCCTTGTTCGCGCATTGTTGGTAGATGTCTTGACTTTTGTACATAGCCGTCGACTTGTCCTAGTGCAGTAGCAGTCTTTGTATATGCATATTTCGCAAACCATGTGCCAACGAGGGCTTGCTGGTGAAGGCGACGGTTTTGTCATAGCAGAAGTAAGCGGGAGGACGGAGTTTGGACCAGCCGTGCGCTGCTAGCGGAGGGCAGTGGGGTCATTCATGTGCGCGCGTGATTGACATCGCGAACCGCGGTCAGGGTCCACCAATTGGTCACAAAGATAAGCCAAGACGTACAGCACAACACGGCGGCACTTGCGCTATCTTTGGCTGGCGCAGACTCTTTTTCTCCTCACGATCCGGGAGTGCTTGCGACACGTATGCGACGGTGATCTCTGCCACTTTTTTCGCCTACAAAGCCTGCGACGCCCGCTACGCAGCCCGCCCGTCAACATGGGGAGGAATCGTGCCGTGTCCAACGCCTCGACGCGGAGCAGTGAGCCGCCTTTACAAGTAGGTATGGTCGTGGAGCGAGCGGTGCAGAGCCTTCCTGAACTGTGACAGGAGCTGGGGAGCATGTATGACTACCTAGCCAAGGTGATACTGCTGGGTCCCAGTGGTGCGGGCAAGTAAGTTGGCCATGAGGCGAGGAGGCACTTGCAAACACCGAGTAACCAAGCCGTATAGATCATGCCTCCTGCATCGCTTTGTCAAGTCTGAGTGTATCCGAGCCTGGTTTTTCCCTGTAGCATGCCCGCTGGCTAACCACGTACTCCAGGGCGCGTGCTGTCGAGCCAGACTATCGGTGTAGAATTCTCGTCCAAAATCGTCCACATTGCCGACCGCCGCCGCTCTCCCTCGTCGTCGGCATCGCGAAAACGAATGAAGCTGCAGCTCTGGGATACGGCCGGTACAGAGCGCTTCCGCTCCGTGTCGCGCTCCTACTATCGCGGGGCCGCGGGCGCAATACTGGTCTATGACGTGAGCAGTTGGCGGAGCTTCGAGCAATTGCAGACGTTTCTCAACGATGCACGGGCGCTGGCTGGACCAGACCTGACCATTATACTTGCAGGGAACAAGAGCGATGTGGAGAACGAGGGGGAGCCTGTGGGCGTGGCTGGCAGTCATGGCGCAAGCGGTGGCGGGGGGTATGCCAGTTATGGGAGTACACCGAGTTCAGAGAGTGGACTGCCGCCGCCGACACCGTCGTCACACTCTAGTCGAGCCAGTCTCAACGCAAATCTCCATGCTTCGTACACGATAGCCCCGGAGGGCCGCGAGGTCCCGACCGAGACGGCGTCGCGATGGGCGGGCCAGAATGGAATACCGGTTGCTGTAGAAGTGTCTGCTCTCAATGGAGAGAATGTGGACGAGCTGTTCAACAGGCTGGCGAGGATGATCTTGGCCAAGATTGAGCTGGGCGAGATCGACCCCGACGATCCCGCGAGCGGTATACAGTATGGCGATTTGGGCTGGGACGATGGTGGCGGGAGTGTCAAGAGTGGGTTTGGCGACGATGGCGTTAGATATCGCCGGAGAGGGAAGAAACCTGGCGGCCTGGGTGAGTGGGAAGAAGTGTTTAGGCTCGGGGGGAGCAGGCGCAAAAGAGGATGTTGTTAATGAGGGCCGAGAAACACACAAGACTACAGGGTACGACGGCCATGGCATCTGATGGATCTAGATATTTCGTTGTGTGTTTGATTGAAGTTTAGAGTCCGGCGTGTTTCTTGCAGTTAGTAGTAGGAGGAGGAGCTCTCGTTACACGGCAGACACAGCATGTGTGGTTCTTTTTTTCTTCTTCTTTTTTTTTCTTTCTCCTCGTAGACACTGCACGGGCATGATATAATAAGGCATGGATTTGGCGATATTCACATCCGCAGAGCACTCATCATGGCTTGCACGTGGCCATCATCACATGTCAGGCCTTGTTCCCAGGCTGGCGGGTTTCGCCAAGTGCGGTGCGGGTGCGGCTCGATGTCGACGGGAATGTCGTCATACACCGACCAATGCATGCATGCCAAAGCATTTCCACACGCCACGCTACCACACACAACTTCATACGATGCAATTTCGCCGATTGCGATGCTGACAGTGCATGGCAAAGAGAGAGAAGAAAAAACTCTTCCCTTCTGCTCTCCCCCTTTTCGCCTCCCCACTGGCCATGGAGGCCTGCTAGAGGCCAGAACAACGGAAACGGCCATGTCCGCCGGAACGCGTCCGAAACCTCGGCATGGCTGCTCGACGGCCTTTTGCCACAGCACACGTCTCACTGGCCAGGCTTGCGGGCATTGGTCGCGTGCCTCGGAGCCATGTTCCTGGCAGTAGCGCGGCAAATGTTTAGTTGGTACATACGTCGCATGGGAGCAATTATTTTTGCGTCACTGATCTGGTCCCCGTATCGTGTGTGGCTTACCTACTCTTGTTGCAGCTTTTCGCGCTTTTATTCTCCACGACTCCTGTTTCTCTCTTCTTCTCTCTATCTATTGTAATACGAGATTTACGGCTACAGCCCTCTACCTGACATACTAATCACACTGTCGTTCTCACGAGCCGTTACGTCTCTCGCTCGCGCTCTCCCTGCGCGCATACCCATTCGAACTGCCACGCCCCTTGCCCCCGCCAACATGACCTGGCTCAATCGGTTGAATCCCACGCCGGCTTTCCCACAGCATACCGGCCCGTACCAGGTCGGCTCTATAGACGTCGAGATACCCTCCAGCGACCTGGACAGCCCGAGTGCGAATGCGCCTCCTGCGGATCTACCCACGGTCGCGTTCCGCTTGTTTTACCCGTGCAAGCAGGACAGCAATGAGAAGGCTGTGAGGTGGCTTCCGAGCCCGCAGAGGGAATATATCAGCTCGTACGCAAAGTTCCTGGGTGCCAGCAGCGCGTTTGCTGGAGTGTTTTCGTACGTATGAGCCGTGTGTTGGGTTGGAAAAAGCAAAGCTAATGCAAGCGCAGATTAATGCCCCAGTTGCTGTATTTTATTTCCATGCCTGTACACCACCATGCCGAGCTCCTTGCGCCACCGCCAAAGTCTGATCGATGGCCCGTCATGGTATTTTCTCATGGCCTCGGCGGCACCAGGAATGCGTATTCACATATTTGTGGCTCGCTCGCAAGTCACGGGGTGGTGGTTGTGGCCGCCGATCATCGCGACGGTAGTGCGCCTCTATCTATCCACCACACACCGGAAGAAAAAGAAAAAATGAAGCGGGTGGCGTACAGGGCGATTGACCACAAGGCTAGTACGGAGACGTACCAAGCAAGAGACGAGCAATTGCGGATACGGCTGTGGGAACTGGGCATGATCCACGATGCGATATTGAAGGTTGACGAGGGGAGGCAGCTGAAGAATGTTGCGCAGGACCAGCCCAAGGAAAGGAACGTCTTGAGCATGTTCCGGGATTTACTCCATGTCCATGAGCCCGGCGCTCTCAGCTTCGGCGGTCACTCCTTTGGCGCATGTACCACGATCCAGTTTGTCAAGTCGATTTACCACCGGCCTCAAAGACCGATTTCAGAGTACAAGCCCCTGTACACTCCATCTGAAGATTCAAGCATCGTACGCCAAATCACGCCCACTACATCTGTTACCCTGCTCGACCTCTGGACACTGCCGATCCAAAGCCCAGACACAGCATGGCTTAGGACCCAGCCCATGCCGTGTTACGACTCGCCAAGCGGCGGCAAGAACCTACTAGCCATCGCCTCGGAGGGCTTCTACAAATGGAGCTCCAACTTCCTCGAGACAAAACGCATCCTGGCGAAGCCCTCAGCCGCTAAATCACAATACCCAGCCCAACCCGGCCCACACATGTTCTACCCCATTTCCTCGGCCCATCTCTCCCAAAGCGACTTTGGCGTCTTGTTCCCCTGGCTCACGACAAAAGTCTTTGGCGCCAAGGAGCCGGAGAGAGTGCTTAGACTAAACACTCGTGCCATACTGCAGGTCCTGCGTGAAAACGGGATCCGCGTAGCCAACACCAGTGCCGAGGATATGGAGCTTGAGGCTGGTGCGGGTGAGACTACAAATGACACTGCTATTCTTAGCCACGCAAAGGATAGTGTACGTGGATGGGTCAATCTCAGCACCGATCTGGAAACAGGCCTCGATCCCGAGGATGCCGAGCGTGTGCAGGGTAAGAGGTTAGTGGGGGCGCCGACGGAGAGGGTGGGAAGTGAGGGTAAGGGGCCGGCGGATGCGATCGTGGAGGGCGAGGCGCTGGGCCAGGTTGTCGGGGGGAATGGGAGTGGCAAGCTGTAATTTGAGGACAGGTGGTTTTTTTTTCTTTCATACGATCTTGCGATGGCGCTGGATATAGCGGGATTCTTGTTTTTTGGTGCTTGTATATGATTCTAGATGAGATTCCCACGGTATATTGATAGATGTATGGACAAGGTTTACTGTTATCTATCATCAACTCGTGATGTGTTATAGCAAGTAAAAGAGACGCTATTAAACCCCTCTATCAAAAGTGATGTCCTGAGATACTTGCCACATGCTGAGCATCGCTGCCTAGTCTAGGCTTCTCATTATCCGCACTCTTGATTGGTGTGCTGTGCTTGTTCCACACTGAACCATGGTAACGCACCTCTGCTGTAACGTGTGAAGTAGGAATTCCCACTCACACGAGATGTATATGTGCCGTGCCGCCGTGTGTACAAGTAGCTTTTTTTTTGCAATTTCGCGTCGACGTGAGCCTTTACTTGTGATTCTGGCGACGACCTGCATACCGAGTTGGAAGCGCGCACTGCCATCTGGAGGGTGGCAAATAACAAACATTCCCCGACGTGTTACTTTTCCCATGTCCACATCTCTCATTCTCTGCCTTTTTCACTACTTATAGGAAAAGACCCCGCACGGCGCGTTTGCAGTCTGTTCATCACATAGACTCCATGCATTAGCGCAAGTAGCCGCAGAGACAAACACAGACAATCTGCCCCCCTTATCACATGAACTCCGGCTTCACAACAACTCAAACCCAACGGCATGGCGGCGCGCTCAAGTGACCAGAACGAGGCGATGCCGCTGAGGCCGCCGGAATGGATGCTGAATGCGGCGAGGCATGCGGTAGATGTATCCGGTGTCAATCCGCAAGAAGCGTTTGCAGCGAGGCTGCGAGAGGCAAAGGCCATGGCCGAGTCCGGTAGTCAGCAGCATCAGGGAAATATGCTTGTGCTGGCAGCGAAGATGAAGGACGTGAGGAAGATGCATGGATTGCGACTATCGAGCACAGCGGCACAGGCAAAGGTCGCACCGGTATCAAGCAGTGAGCGAGATCCAGCGAGTACAGCGACGCAGAAAGACGGCATTCAAGCAACAGAGATCACCAAGCAGAAAGGAACGACGGCAGAGTCTGGTATCCGCGCGAAGAAGAAGAATGAGAAGAAGGTGAGGATGCAGATGGAGGCGAAGCAGATTGCAAAGAAGACGAAACCAACTCCAATCAACACTGCACCACAGTTCCGCACCACAAACACAACTACATCTCCAAACGACATCAATCGCACAGATACAGATACGCTACCGCTCAGCAAGTTCCTCACATCCCAGCACGAAACAGAGCGGTACCCTGTGCACCCCAAGCTCCCAGAATGGTACACCTCCATCTCCCTCGACAGCCTCGCCATGAAGGCCCTCAACCGAAAGCGACCGGCAGCCCTCACAGCGCTAGACTCGCTCAAAGCATTCATAATCCACTGCGAGCAAGCACTCATCAGCAAGCCCTCGTCGCACCTCCCCGCGCTATGGGACAAACTGCGAGATGCCGTCCACAAAGCCGAAATCACTCTGGTCGTGACCCCGCACATACTGCGAAAAGCCAACATGCTATCCCCGGCTGTCGGACTCCCGCGCATCTTTCACAAGGACGCGGAATTCCCGCCAGACCTCAAGGCCGACGCCTACCAGCTGTACCTGCGGTGGCACAAGGGCGACCTCACGCAGGACCTGCTGCGCGGCATTGTAACGCGGAAAGCGCACAATCGCACCAGCGACAGCATCTGCGGCGAGTACCGCTCCAAGTTCCCCGTCAACGCGCGGTACCACGGACACGGGGCGCTGGTGGCGGGGCAGTGGTGGCCGACGCAGCTGTGCGCGGTGCGCGACGGCGCCCACGGGAGCTCTCAGGGCGGCATTTTCGGCGACAAGATCGAGGGTGCGTATTCCGTCGTGCTGTCTGCCGGTGCTGCATACGACGACATCGATGCCGGCGACGTGGTGCAGTACAGCGGCACCAAATCTGCCTCGTCGACACCCACAGACAACACCAGAGCACTGCTTGCCTCGCGCGCCCTGGGCAATCCCATCCGCGTCATTCGCTCGGCGCAGCTGGGCCCCCAGAATAGGTTTCGCCCGCACCGCGGCCTGCGCTATGATGGGCTGTATGTCGTTACGCGGTACGAGGTGCTGGATGCGGAGACGGCGAGTTATCGGTTTCGGCTGGAGCGGTGCGCAGGCCAGGATGCGATTCGGTGTGAGGGCAAGGCGACGAGGCCGACGGTGTGGGAGGTGCAGGAGTATGAGCGGTTGAGGGAGAAGGGGGCGTGGTAGGCTGGTGGATGTGAGTGGTAGTGGTAGTGGTAGTGGTAGTGGTAGTGGTATGTCTAGCAGGTAGACAGGGACGTTGAAGTGTAAATGGAGGATTGAAAGTGGTTGGCAGAGGAGGATACCACGAGCCATGAAATGAAGAACACCGAGATGTATAAAAGAAACTACAATCTATCCAATTGCAGATACTTCCAATTCACTGTACAGTGTATTGATATAGATACCCGTTTCTTACGTTGCCAGCACACGCCAAATAAAATACACTCTGAAACGCACAGTCTTTCTACTCGTCACTCTCTTCCTCTTCCTCTTCATCATCGTCCATGTCAACATCCTCATCACTCAAGCCCTCAATATCAACATCTTCCTCGTCCTCTTCCTCTTCATCCTCACTCTCATCCTCAAACACCTCTCCATTCCTCTGCTCCGCCTTCTCCGCCTCTTTCCTCTTCTTATCCTCCGTCTTGCGCGCATCCTCCAGCATCTTCTGCTTCTGCTCTCTGCTCTTTCTCTGGCCTGCTACAAAAGCGCCCAGAGGACTCTTGTCCCATTCCACATCCTTCAGGAAGCCCTCAACACCCGCACGGTTGTTAGGCGCAAACTCAACCTTGTTGCGCTTCTCCTCGACCCAGCGCGAGTTTGCCTCGAGCTTCTGGACAAGGAGGCCAAGCAGAGAAGAGACTTTGTTGTTCTTGTTTCCGCTGCTCTTCTTGGTCATGGCCTTTACCCAGCGCTTGAGCATGACGATAACGGGGAGCGCGAGTTCGGGAAAAGCAATGTTCTTGGTCCAGAGGACGAAGAACTCGGAAAGGAGTTCAGCTACTTGCTCGCCGATGCCATCTTGATAGACGCGTGTCCGTAGATAAGCCTTGGTTGCGCGGATGCTGACGTTGAAATCGAGCGCTTTCAAAGTGCTGGGCTTGGGGGGCTTCTTCATTTCTGCAGAGTTCAGAACCTCGACTAGGGCGGGCGCGAGTGGAATGTATGTCGATGTTGCTGAGGCGATACGGAGGAGCGACCGCACAAGTTGGAAGCGGAGAGGGAAGTATTGCGATGTCGGGATGAGGCGCATGGCTCCGAGCGTGACTTGGACAATGGGGTAGATGAGTGGTCGTAGCGGCGATGGCTTTCCAGCCTCTGCTTCCCGGAGAGACTCGCAGTGCATCGAGACGACACGAGACCAAAAGTCTAGCGAGTGAATGTACTGCCAGTTGTATACTGTCTTGTAAGAGTCCTTTGTCTTGTTCGTGATACTTGTGCGGAGATGGATCGCAAGCTGGCGGATGAAGCCAAAGCCTGTTGTGTAGCCTACTGTTGGGTCGATGCCCCAGAGTTCAGATGCCGTGTTCTTCATAAGGTTGATGCCCTGCACGTTGTGGACTGTGGTGTTTCTTGCGCCCTTGACCAGGCCTTGGTATGTTTGCTTCAAGACTGCCTCGCGGATACTTGGGTCCGCAATGACGACCAGCCGTCGCAAAACGAGAAAGGCCGACACTCGGGTGCCGTCGTTGTTTGCACTGTCGGCCCATGCAGCGGCGACAGAGCGTGTGACCTCGCGAATAATCTTCTTGAACGAGAGAATGTATGGGAGGAGATTTGCCAATGAGTCGAGAGTCATTTTTAATGTTTTCGCATCGGCCAAGTTCTCAAGCAGATGGTGCATTGAGACGGTATGCGACTTGAGTAGTGGCGTGAGGGTGCGGAACTTCTTTGTATCGGTAGGCACGCGACTGTGATTGTTAGTGATTTGCTGAAACGGGGTGGTGGATGACTTACACTTTGCCGCCAGCACTCTCCTTGACCGGCAAGTGGTGCTGAAGAACCTTGGGAACCAGCTGGAGAGTTGTTACCTGAACCAAGTGGTATACTGCGTGCTGTTAGCATCAAGATTTCTCCAGGATAGCGGAAGCAACATACCATCTGGGTCCGTTATCGAGTACTTGTACGACTTTCCGCCATCCTCGTCGTTCATGTGTGCTGCAGAGCGGAATGCAAGGACAACCTCCTTCATTGCGCGCAGAGAGTGCTTGGATTCCATCGATGCTTTCCATTTCTGAACAGTCTTGACTGTGAGCTCGTTGCCGGTGCCCTCTGCCTCGTCGGCCTTGTGCTTCTTTCGCGGTGTGGCCTCGTCTTCACTGGCGGAGAGAGCATCAATCTCGGCCAGGTCGGCATCTTCGGCAAAGTCGAGCAGCTCAGCGTCGTTCTCCTTGAGATATTTGTAGAACTCGGGGTCCTTCTCCGCCAGGCCGGCAAGCTGTTCCTTGTGGGCATCAATGTCGTCGCCCGAGTCGCTCTCGGATCCAGAGTCGTCGGAGGCGCCAGGCGCCTCTGCCATTTCCTCGTCGGAGCCCTCTGAGGCATCCTCGTCGACGGGCGTGCGTTTCCGCTTGCCCGTCTTGGGCTTGGTCTTCTTCTTGCTCATCTCTGGTATCTGGAAGCCGCCCTGGAAGAATTGGTCCATGGACATGTCGGCCAGCTTGTCGTCCTTTGCCCCGTTGGCCTTTGACTTCTTGGCGGCCTCTTCCTCGACGTCGTCGGCGCGCGCATTGTCTCTGGCCTTGCGCTCCTTCTTCTTGGCCTCCATCTGCTTCCTCTGCTTGATCTTGGCGACATCCTTGCGGCGCTTGATGGCGTCGCCGAGCTTGTCCTTTTGGAACTTCTTGGTCGCCTTTGACACGGGCATCTCGGCGATACTGGGGGGGAATTTCCGTGGCAGGGACGGTGGTGTTGGCCAGACGTGCAGCTGGTGGTTGAAAAACTTGGGCGCTCGAAAAAGTTCCCAGCGCTAAGGACCCTGCAACCACTAGCGCTTCCCCACGCCATGGATGCTCGTGCTTGGACAGGCAGCAGGCACCGCACCACCAAGACAGGCTGGCCGTGAAGCTCGCAGCCGTTCACCACGCCCATCACGGCCGAAACCGTCGTCATGTACACCACCAGACCGCTCGCCTATGCGCCGACGCCCTACATCCCGCGCTCCAATCTCGCCGCGACCATCAACCTCGACGAGGTATGACGCGCCGCGGTCCCACCCGATGATGCGCCCATCACTGACTGGCCGTATAGGAAGCCAAGCTATCGACAACCAATGCCGAGCGCGACCTCAACGACTCGCTCGCCGAGATCTACAGCATCATCATCACCCTCGATGCCGTCGAGAAAGCCTACCTGAAAGACTCGATTGCCGAAGCCGACTACACCGAGACATGCAGCCGCTTGATGAAGCAGTACAAGTCGAACCTGGCCAACGAGACGGTCGCACGCGCATTTGGCGACCTGAACCAGTTCGCTAGGGAGTGGCATGTATGTATGGCCGCGCGCGGGCACCTGTTGCAGGCTGACCGCATACCAGATGGAGTGCCCCAGGGCCGTTGAACGGTTGCGCGTCGGCATACCCGCCACAGTCGAACAGGGACCGTCGAGACCAGCACAGCAAGGCGACTTTGCCGACGCAACGCTCGTGGTGAATGCGACCGAGACGTTTATCACGCTGCTCGACGCCATCAAGATCGGGCTGGTGGAGAAGGACACACTGCACCCGCTGCTTGTGGAGATCATACAGGCGGTTAACAAGGTGACTGATGTCGACTTTGAGAGCAAGGGCAAGATTGTGCAGTGGCTGATTACGCTGAATCAAATGCGCGCATCCGAGAAACTGGACGACGAGCAGGTGCGCGAGTTCCAGTTCGACATGGACCAGGCATATTATGGGTTCAAGAGCACGCTGAAGAAGGCTTGAAGCACTGGGTGGTACCATGAGCTCTAGCTTCGCACGGGCCCGCTGGACTTTTGTGAGTACCGCGCCCCGCTCGCCAATAGTTGTGACCGCGCCTCCGCCATAGTCAATTCAACAATGACCATGCTACATGGTACGGATTGCGCGCCTAGCCTTCGCATGACGTGGTGCTAAGTCTCTGTGCAGTCCTCGACCTTCCCCAGATATACACCAAGCCGTCTGCCGAGGCGCTCCTCGATACTCTGACACTTCTCACCACCGCTCCGCCGTCATGGGAGGCGATTGAAAAATCAAAGCAGAAACACGGGCCAGCGCCAGCCGTCGCGGTCAACCCAGAAGGGGTCACGCGCTACCTCACGAGCATCATCAGTAGCGATTTGAGGTGGATACAAGACGAGGAATTGAAGGAGCAGATTTGGGACCAAGCCAGTGCAAGGCTCAGCGAACGATCTGGACGGTCTGCCATGGGCGCAATGTCGCGCTCTTTTCGCATTCCTACATCTGCCAACGCCTTCGAACTCAGCATCCACGAGCCGACTTTGACTGGCGACGATCTGGGTCTGAAAACCTGGGCAGCGTCTTACCTCCTCGCGAAACGTCTCAGTTCATTCAGCCTGGTTCCTACAGACACGCAGGAGAGACTGCAAGTTCTTGAACTTGGTTCGGGCACTGGCCTAGTCGGGCTCGCCATGGCCGGCCTGGGTGCACACGTCCTCTTGACCGACCTGCCCAGTATCTGTCCGAACCTTGCGCACAACGTACGCCAGAATCACAATGTGATCAGTGAGAACGGTGGAAAGGCTCGCGCCGCCATGCTCGACTGGACCGAGCCCCATGTCTGTGAGCCGCTCGAAGACGACCATGAAGCTATTCCCGCAAAATTTCCCGTGGTTCTAGCTGCCGACTCGCTTTACTCTCCAGATCATCCACGCATGCTGGTTGACACCATTGCAGCCTGGCTTTCCCCGGCCAGCCATGCCAAAGTCATTGTAGAGTTTCCGTACAGGGATGCATATCTGCCTCAAATCAAGGACTTCCGCCGACGAATGATCGAGATCGGACTGCAGATGCTGGAAGAAGGTGAAGAGAACGGGTACGATGACTGGGGAGCGTCTGGAGCGGGCGACGACCAAAACGAAGGTGCGCTTGTGACCTGTTGGTGGGCGTGTTGGGCAAGGCAAAGTTCAGATGCTAGCTCACATGGCCTTGGCTAAAGTTGCGCACATTATCCTTTGAAAATGCGGTCACGATAGGTCAAGGCTCCTTGGCCGGGATCCCACGGACCAGGCACTTGCGATTTTGTCTGGTCATTCGCATACTGACGGCCCTGGATGGCGACTTGTCCCTCGGAGCAACGCCGAGTTGTCCAAACCGAGCTTTCCAAGAAGAGCGATGCACGCGCCGGTTAATTAGTCGGATAATTTAAGCTTCCAGACTCTGGCTGTTGGTGGGCAGCCACGTTCCCTAACCGCGGCGGGATAGCTTCCCGCAAAGCTACAGCTGGGGGTCCACACTTTGCATCGTCATTACATAGCGACTCACTTGCGCGTGAGTTTTGTCAGATTACTCTTCCACTTTCTTCTTTCATAGATACTGGACCAAAGCAACACCTTGAACTGTATCTGTTTTCTGCACAATCATCACAATGGCCTCACAAACCGCTACTCAAAAGGTACAGCGCACTGCCCCACCATAACCCCTCCATGCACGATGCCATGTCCCAATCCGCCGCCGTCAGTGCAACAACACATGGCTTACGTTTTACTAGAACCCATCTTTCGTTCTTCAGGCCCCTAACAAAGTCATCTACGAAGACCGGCCAATTCCAGAACTCCCATCTCCATACGATGTCATTGTCCGGCCACGATGGACTGGTATCTGCGGCTCAGACGTACACTACTGGGTTGAAGGCCGCATCGGCCACTTTGTAGTGGAGAAGCCAATGGTGCTCGGTCACGAGTCTGCGGGTATTGTACACAAGGTTGGCGACAAGGTGAAGACTCTCAAGGTTGGCGATGAGGTCGCCATGGAGCCTGGTGTGCCCTGCCGCCGTTGCGTGCGCTGCAAGGAGGGCAAGTACAATCTCTGCCCTGACATGGCTTTTGCCGCAACACCTCCATACGACGGTACCCTCGCACGATACTACACACTGCCAGAGGACTACTGCTACAAGCTGCCCGAGAACATGTCCATGGAAGAGGGTGCGCTGATTGAGCCGACGGCCGTCGCTGTGCACATTACGAGGCAAGCATCCATCAAGCCTGGCGACTCTGTCGTCGTATTCGGCGCTGGCCCTGTTGGTCTGCTGTGCTGTGCCGTGGCAAAGGCCTACGGCGCAAAGAAGATTGTCACCGTCGACATCAACGACGAGCGCATGAACTTTGCCCTCAAGTACGCCGCAAACTCCAGCTTCAAGAGCCAGAGGGTAAGCGCCCAGGAAAACGCTGCAAACCTTATCAAGGAGTGCGAATTGGGCTCTGGTGCCGACGTCATCATCGATGCCTCGGGCGCAGAGCCCTGCATCCAAACCGCCATCCACGCTCTCCGCATGGGCGGAACATATGTCCAGGTCCGTCTTTTTCCCTCGTGTCCAAAATCATCACATTGCTAATTTTCATCTAGGGTGGCATGGGCAAACCTGACATCACCTTCCCCATCGTAGCCATGTGCACCAAGGAACTCAACCTCAAGGGCTCTTTCCGCTACGGCCCCGGCGACTACCAGACAGCCATTGACCTCGTGTCGAGCGGCCGTATCTCCGTCAAGGAACTGATTACCGGCAAAGTCAAGTTTGACGATGCGGAAAACGCATTTGCCGATGTCAAGGGCGGGAAGGGAATCAAGATTCTGATCGAGGGTCCTGCTGAGCAATAATTATTGATTTCCGAAGTGGTGGTTACGATGAATTTTTTTTCAATGTGTGGGGATATCAGACAATGAGCTTTTCTTGTTGCATTGAGAAAAAGGACGAAATAAAGTACGGTGTTGTGGAGCGAGCGGGCATGTCGTTATTGCTATGTTTAGATATATAGGGTGTCGGTAGTAGATATCTGATAACTACAAGTTATAATTATAGTTTCATAGATATCCCTAAAAAGGTATACAAGTCACTACATAGTGCTACGGCGCTGTTGCGCAAGCGGCAGCTTACAATCCTGCGTGATATAGAAGGGACGGGACAAGACCAGGAGGGACAAAGAGAGGCTGGCTCGGTGTCATATCGGTACCACAAGAGGTTGACTAGTTTGTGCATTAGTGGAACATTTGCAACTTTTACCATTATCATCCCTAATCTCTTCCTCTAGCCATTACAAACGTCGCTTCTACACGCACAGAGTAATATAAGGTACCTGCTTCATCTCAGCCTCACATTTCTGTTCTGTCCTTGTTCACGGCAAATTCGACCGTCCTAGACGTTATTCGTTTGAGAAGCCTAACTATCTCGCGACGCTACATATTAATTGGGACTTGTATTTGTGAAGCTGGCGGGGTGATAGGAGCCCTGTTTGACTTTGTTGATGGATTATTATTAGAAGTGATACTGAATTCCCCCTTTTTGCGTAAAAAGATAAAAAAAAACTATAGACTCTTTAAGTTAGATGAAAGAACTGTAGTGTGATAAAAGTTTATAATTGCTAATATACCCAACAAAGAGACTCAAAATAGTTATACATAGTAGTGTAGGGTTGCCCCATTGCCCCCATACTTAGCGTGGGTACGTCCAGTACCGTCACGTGAACCTCTTCAGGTGCCAGCAACATAAGTCTAATCGCGTTTAAACCCCGTCACCCAGTATATGAGTTTCTCATCGAGCCAAGGCCGGAGGCCTCTTACATCTGTTCAGCTCTATCTCTAACTACGTTTTCCTAATCATACTGCAAGTTCTATTCGTAGTATCACCCTATTCCAGGAGTCTAGGTGTTAAAACAGGCGAGACGCGCAGGCTGAGCTATTTGTGAAATTAAAGGCACGTATGGTACTCGTTATTTGCGTTGAGGATGCCGTCCTCATTGTGGTGTCTAGTCAAAAATCTTAAATATCTTCACTGCCGTTCCTGATCAAGTAAGTGCCTAATCTGATAGTGAATTCTGGCGCTCTTGTCCATCTCGTCCGTCTCATTCGTCTGTTTTCTCTGCCTCCATGCTTTCTCGCCCCTGCATGATTGCTCACGCATGTTAAGCAGGGACTGCCTACCAGCATTGCACACACATCCTAGTGGCTGCTAACCTACCCAAGCTGCCACGCAAACTAAACCAAACCAAGCCAAGCATCAGACACACACATACATACACTCACATGCACATGCACGCCATTACCCCAACCCCTCCTCATGCTGAAGCCACAAAAAAAACCCCCCGAACCTAACACCACCCGCTACCCGCAAGCCTCATGTATATCAACATAACGTACCACTTGCAAGTAGGTAAAGCACCCTAATCCCAGCTACTTGGAGTGAAAAACCCCAACCTACGCACCCAGCCAAAATGAGCAGGACAATGGGAAATCAAACCAAAATAGCGGGACGAAAAAAAAATGCATTACTTAGTAGATAGATACATACGTACACGTCCACGTAAACACATAATCCACACACAGATAACATGTACAAGTACGTACACACGTACACACACAGCCCCAGGCCCCCACGTTTCCACTACTTACCCTACTGACCTACCCGGAATCCTTTCTTTTTTCTTTTTTTTCCTCTTTCTTGAGAGAATTTAGAAGAAGAAGAGACAAAAAAACGCGCAACAGGGCATAAATAAGGGGGAGAATAGCGGGAAGAAGAACAAAACCACGAATCAAGGCAAGGGATAGAGAAAGGAAAAAAAAATGGAGCTAAAATAGGGAACAGAATCAGCGGGAAAGGACAGACATGGGGTTGAGGCGTGGAGTGTAGCAAGCAAAGGAACAGCATGGGCAGAGAGCACGGACAGAGAGGCGCAGGTACGGACGGGTAAAGACGCAGGTACAGGCACAGGCACAGGTACGGGCATTTTGTTCTAACTAGATTAACCCTTTCTTTTAAACACGCGAGGAAGGTATTTTACTTACATGGGATGTTGGGAATCATGTCAGAACACATGGACGTGAAGAATATTGATTTGTTTGACCATGTAAGTATTTCCATCTCTACTTCTCATCTCTATTCTGTATCGAGGACTGTCGGCAGATGAAATATCATTCCATACCATACTGTATCATTCAACTGACTGCCGAGCGTTAGAAAAAAAAGTGGGTGTTGGTATGTGGCTTTTTTTTCCTTGAAAAAAATCGTGGCTTACAATGTGAGGAATTCTGAAATAGTGGGGGAGTGGGGGGGGGGCTTTCCTATGTTAGCATGGGCGGGTGGATGGATGGGTCGTGGTGCGGGAGGTGGTTAGACAAGTGCGAAACGTGAGAGGCGTCAGGCTAATAATTTTTCGATACATGTGTTAAGCGGAACAGGGAAGAGGCCTCGGGAAGAAGGGAAATGGTTATGTAGTCTTTTTTTCTTTTTGTCCTTTCGGCGGGGGTTTTTTTTTGATTGCGCTTTCGGGAAAAAAGATGACTGATCTCATGTCTGTTTGTGTGTCGGTGTTGGTGATGGCGGCAAATGTTAGTTCTGAAGAGGTAACCAAATTATGAAGAAGAAAAAAACATCAGAAAGAGAGAAAAAGAGACGTTTGAAGTTTCTCGCCAGCTCCTGTTTTGAGAAACGTGGACGTTCGTTTCGTTTCTCTTTTTCGTTGCGTTCTTCGTTCTCGTTCTTGTTGATGGGTAGTAGTATCATAAGATAGATAGATGTACATGCTTGATAAACAATTCTTTCGATAGAGGGATGCTCAAATCAATCATGTTGGACAATGCCAACCGCTTCCAATCGCTAAAACCGGGGAGATGCCTGCCAGAGAAATAAGGTGGGAGAGGGTGAGTCAGAGGAAAAGGAGAGCCGTACAAAAACGTCTACATGGACGTCGTACATGAGAAAAATTCGGGCCGCTGGGTATAGTTTGGAATCGAGGGCGTGAAGCGAAAGGTGTTTTGTGATTATGACGAGTGGAAGAAACTAAACGCCTGCTTTGCGGGCGCTCGCGCCGCGCTTGGGCAGAGTCCAAGGTTCTGGGCAGACAACCTGGAGTGGTGTTAGTATAGTGCTCAAGTATGTTGGAGAGTCGCGCAGATCGTACCTCGCCTTCACTGTAAGCCCAAAAGTACACCATCATGCCGACAATGTAGTAGAGGCCGGCGTTTGTGCCCTGGTAAATGAGAAGTGCACACAGCGCACTGAGCGGATACATGATGAGGCGTGCTTCAATGGAGCGATGCAGACCGCTGCCGGCGAGCAGAGGCAATGGCCATTCCCAGGCGACACCGACTACGCCGAGGATAACGTTGAGAACTTGCAGGACGGGAACGGGCTTGACGGCGCCATCGAGGTTCTTGGTGAGGAAATCCCAGAAGATCTTGGGCCAGAAGAAGCAGTGGAAACCGGCGGTTATTTGGTCTGGGAGTCATGTGAGCAACTCGCCGTGTGCAGTCGGGGGGTGGAATGCAACTTACAAGCAGCGGCTGTGAGGACGATGAGACGAGCCCAGTGGTTCTTGATTAACTTGCCCATTGTGCAGGAATTATAAAGAAGGGATACGAGCAGTACCGAGCCCGCGGTCGTTTAAGAAAGGAAAGCGAGTAAAATAAAAATAAAAGGAAGGTGTAGAGAAAGAAAGTAAGCGGAAAATGTCCCCTCGACTACCAGTAGCCTCGATGACAGCAGAGCATCAAGTCTGGGTGGAGGTGGCCGGGCACGTTTTGTTATAGCTAACGGGGGCAGTGGCGGCGGCGCTTCTCGGTGGGCCGAAACAGGCAAGGCTCCTGGAAGGGGACAGGCGGTGATGGGCAGAGTGGAGAGATAGAGCCCAAGTGTTATCGATGGCTGAGGCGTAGGCGAGTCTCAGGCGTGTTAGGTGTTCAGGCAGCGTGGTGTTGCCGTTGAGCTTCGCGACGTGAGGTGTGTCAGTATACCGGGAGCGACAGCGGGAGGTCGACGCCAAATGTAAAGACAATTATGCGCCATTGCAACCCCGGCACGTGCAGGCTGGGCGGTGCTGGGGGGGAGTCTAGGGCTGGTGGTGACCTGGTGTAGCCGCTTGACCCGCTCTCTCGTGGTAGCGCACCACGGGCGCAGCGGCGGCTATTGGCTGGCTGCGCGAGATGGACCAGCAGCGGCTGCAGCCACCGAGCGCGCATGCGTATGCCATGGGCGGTGCTTTGGGGCAGCGTGCCCGTTGCCCGCGCCGTCGATGGCAATGGCAATGGCGGGGCGTGGATAGCGAGCATCCGTGGGTTAGTGAGTGCTGGGCGTCATTGTGGAAGCGGTGTGCAGGCCGCCGGTGCACTCGGAGCCAAGCCCAACGGCATGAGGGCTGTATGGCATTTGTGACGGGAGGGAGGTGAGAAAGAGGGGAGGTGAGAAGGAGGGGGAGAAGGAGGTGGTGGTAGCAATGGTGAGAGGTGGAGGTGGTGGTGGTAGAGAGAAGGGCAGCCACGACGCAGGCGAGCATGAGCCACAGTGACAGCGCTCGTTCGCGCCTGCCGAGTATAGTCGCGGTGCTGCCACTATTTACTCACGACTTGCTAGTAGTACAAGTACGTGCATCCATCGCCAACACAGGCACACACACGCATCCACACGCACCCGCACAGGCTCCTGCAAAACACCATCCACGTCCAACGTCGTCCACTGCTCTGCGCGTGATCCCTCCGCGCCCGTGGAAAACAACATCAGCCCATTGTTCTGCTCGCCAGCCGCGATCGCTGGCCCTGCGTGCCCCAGCAACCCTCCGACCGCCCGGTTCCCCTGCTCTTGGCTGCTGCTGCGAACTGATACTGAACGAGTGTCGTACCACTTTGTTTGTGTCGAGCTCAGCCGCCCCCGGGACAATGGCATTGAAGCCGGCGACAAGCTTCTGAGGTAAACGTCGTCGTATGATGTTGTTTGATGGGCGTGCCTGAGCATCAGGGCCGACGCTGCATGTCGCCTTGCATGCAGCGTCATGCGCCTTGTTTGCCGCGTGGGCTCCTGAGGCACTGAACAGAAACCGACACTGAGGCATCCGCTGCCCTGCGAACATCGCCGTGCCGCATCGCGCCTTGGCTGCACGGAGAATTCGCATCCCTCGCCCCCGGCACCCACTGGCACCACCATCACCTCGCCGCCGGCGACGACGACTCCGGCGGCGGCGACCACGTGAGCGCCGCCCTTCACCCGCCTAGCGTGCGACTGCAGCGCCAAGCGGCTCAGCATGCTCGCTCGCCGGGCCCATGGACGCCCGCCATAGGACAGACATAGCGACGGCGTCTGGGTGCTCCTACAGCTAGGCTCACGGTGGGGGAGTACCTGAGCGCTTGCACACCACGCCCCATTGGCCGCCCCCTCGCCGCCGAGGCTCCGCCCGATATCCATGGCTACCAACCACAACCCAGAAGTCGCGCTCAACAGTCACCCGGCGCCTCGGATTTCAAAGCCACGACGAGCTCGACCTCGCACCGTGGCCACAGGCTTTTCTCTCGCATCCGCCGCTTCCTCTCGTCGCGCTGCACGGCGGCCCTAATAGTCTGGGGGAACAGCTGCCGCCACTTCGGAGTAATGCCATCACCTCAAACACTCTTCCCCCCCCCACCGACTGTCCATTGTCAAAACCCCGTGATTTACATCCTGGCTCATTTGCCCATGACGACGTTGACGTAGCGAACATCTGCTTTGCCCGATCCATCCAGATCCCCTAGCCTGTTCTGCTCCTATTACACCCACGACACGCCTTCCTACGCGCATCGTTTCACCACGCCCTCGCCTGTCAATTACACCACCCCTCGCCAAATCACCAAATCCCCAGCCCATTCGCAAATCAACGCTCCACCGAGAAAGAGCCTTCCAAACTCTACCGCGACGCCTCAGGCCCATCCATCGTATCGACATCGAGCTTGACGTTTGGCGTTTGCAACTTGGCACAAAAACTCGCTACCTAGTGCCTGCCGCGTGGTTCACCTTCTCTTCCAAAGTCTGCGCCTGCGAAACAGTGCAAGCCTCGCCACGCACCCAGTCTACACGTTGTTGTGCATTTACCCCCGACCGACCGACCGACCTAGCCCATACCCAGGGTCCGACCTTCTCTCTCACTCTCCCAAAAATCCACGAAAACATGGTTCTGTGCCTGGCGCTTCAGGTCTGAGACGCTCTTCACACACTAGTTGCTCGCGCATAGCCGTGAACCCCTCCACCACGCTCCATTTGTACGGTCCGCAACTGAGGCTCATTGCGGTTTGGCGCGCCCTCGATTGCTTTGCATCGCTGCCCTGCCTGGTTACTTCATCAGTCATCAGTCTTGTCCCGCCTGGTATCGCCAATATCGACCAGGGCATCGGTCTGAGCCACATCCGCACCCGAACCGGCCCTGTCAGTTTCAGCACACAGCGTGCCGCTCTACCCATTCCTGCGCGGCTGTTGACGAGTCGCAGTTGATCTGCGCGACGGAGCTTGGCTCGTTCCAAAGCTTGACATTCTAATACCCTTGGTCCCCAGGCCATCTTGGGTCGTCCTCTACCTCCGCTCCCTCCAAACCTCCACACCACTACCGCCCGTCCCTGGACGCCGACATTCTTTTCTTTACTTCGTATCTGGCTGGCCGGGTCGAACTTCGACTGGATCGTTTTTGCTTTTCTGGTTGAGGTTCGCTTATACTACGCGTATACTCTTTTTTTTTTAATCCTTTTCCTAATCACCGTTGAACGGCCCCCACCCCCTCCGCACGCTCAGCCCCACGTAGCAAACACGTTGCGCTCGATACACCTCTTACCATGGGAGGAGGAGAAGTTTCCTGGTCGCGGTGGTTTGCGCCATCCAAACTTGCCTTCAACTTCTTCTTCTATGCCTTTCACTTTGCCCTATTTGGCTATGGATGGTGCGAAACACGCCTTGTCCAAACGATTCAACATGGCCACTAACACACTCCCAGGTATAAGCAGGCTGGCGACTCGCGTCTGGCTGCACTGAATGCTCTGCAATTCTCCGTGTGGGTGTCGCGAGGTGCGGGTTTAGTCCTTTCAGTTGATACCATGGTGATCATTATGCCCATGTGCAGAAATATTCTCCGATGGCTGCGACCCAAGGTGCGCGTCTTGCCGCTTGATGAGTCCATCTGGTTCCACCGACAAGTCGCCTACGCCATGGTCTACTTCACCATTCTGCACGTAGCAGCGCATTATGTCAAGTGAGTGACGCGCTGCGTCAATCAACACATGAGCTGACCTGGATAGCTTCTTCAATGTCGAAGTCACCCAAGTGCGACCTGAGCTCGCGCTCGATATCCACTATGCTCAGGCTGGTGGCATTACAGGACACATTATGCTGCTTTGCATGCTTCTAATGTACACGACAGCCCATCACAGGATCCGCCAACAATCATTCGAGACATTCTGGTACACGCACCACCTCTTCATCCCGTTCCTGCTCGGCATGTACACACACGCGACTGGCTGTTTCGTCCGCGACACTGCTCAACCCTTTTCGCCGCTTGATCACGACAACTTCTGGACCCACTGCATTGGTTACGAAGGTTGGCGATGGGAGCTGGTCGGTGGCGGTCTATACCTCTTTGACCGCCTCTACCGAGAGATTCGCTGCAGGCGCGAGACCAAGATTGTCAAGGTTGTCCGCCACCCGTACGACGCTGTCGAGATTCAGTTCACCAAGCCCAGCATGAAGTACAAGCCCGGACAATGGCTGTTCCTCAACTGCCCCGAAGTTAGCTACTACCAGTGGCATCCATTTACCATTACCTCGTGCCCCAACGACCCGTATATTTCGGTCCACGTTCGCCAGGTTGGTGACTTTACCCGGGCCCTCGCCGATGCCCTTGGTGCCGGTCAATCGCAGTCTAAGCTGTACGACGAGCTAGACCCCATGGGAATGTACGAAATTGCTCTGCAGCACGGCCAAAAGATGCCCGCTCTCCGTATCGATGGACCCTACGGAGCTCCTGCTGAAGACGTGTTTGAGAACGAGGTTGCTGTCCTTATTGGTACTGGTATTGGTGTCACGCCCTGGGCCTCGATTCTCAAGTCCATCTACCACCTCCGTTTGAGCCCCAACCCACCCAAGCGTCTCCGCCGTGTCGAATTTATCTGGGTTTGCAAGGACACCTCTTCGTTTGAGTGGTTCCAGACGCTACTCTCGTCTCTCGAGGCGCAGTCTCTTGGCGGATCGGACGGCGACCAGTTTTTGCGGATTCACACATACCTCACACAAAGAATGGATGTCAACACGGCGCAGAACATTGTGCTCAACTCGGTTGGCACCGACAAGGACCCTCTGACAGAACTCAAGTCTCGTACCAACTTTGGTCGTCCCGACTTCCAGCGCTTGTTCTGCGGCATGCGCGACGGTATCCTGGACCGCACATACATGAACGGTCTCGAGAGCACGCTCCGTACCGAAATCGGAGTCTACTTCTGCGGACCCAACGTGGCTGCGAGAGACATCAAGAATGCGTGCAAGCAGGCGGCTTGCACAGAAGTCAACTTTAAGTTCTGGAAGGAGCATTTCTAGATGTGCCTAGTATATTATTGCACATGTTTAAGCATGCCATGTTTTTTGCGACGAAGAAGCGGATTAGCTGTATTGATTATTTCAGGTTGTGTGTTATGATTAGCCTTTTGGAGGTAGCGACCCACGGGTGCACCCATTTTTTTCCATGTCACATGTACTGATACAATTTACGCAAATTTTCTATGGTATGCTTGCATCTTTGGTGACGCTGGCGTGATTGTTGGTATGTCGAATTGTCATGTACAGTTGAAGGATTCCGCCAAGGTTGATAGCAACATGGAGGTATGGAACGGACTGTAATACTGAGGCAACCTGCTCTACTAATCATCATACGACTTGGGAAAGTCGACTGATGATCGGCCCACAATGATTTCTAGTCATGTCGAGCATACTGGGACCGTTGGGTATATCTCACTAGTCGCCAGGCCTCGGTGTGTCCAGGATCCGAAACGGTGCATGACGAGACTCCCTGCACTCACCTCCTGAAGAATTTCGATTCTGCCTCAGCCACTCAGGCCATATCAGCCATGTTAAGGCCGGACTCTGACGCCACCGACGTCCGGTTTGCTGGCGAGGTGCAGGTAAGTACACGGGCGCGCCAAGAGGCAGCAACATCTCGAGTCGCCCATTTCAGCCATGATTGTACGCGCGCGCCATTCCGTCTGCTCTCTGCTTATTTCCAGCCTCTCGACACAAGCCACCAGAGTCGCTCGGGCATTGCAAGCAAGTCATCCAGAGTGCGGCGCAGCGGGCGTCTCGGTGCGGACCGCCCGTCCCCGTATCATGTGCGTGCGGTGCAGCGAATTCCACAGGCTATCGTTGCTGCATTTTTGTAGGCCAGGAACACGGCGTGGTGAGTCGCAGAAACATGGCTGTACTTACATACTGACGGCGTCTCGCATCGAGGCTTTGTGCAAGGCTGCACGGCACACGACGACGATCAACCACGCCGTCGCGATCGTCGACGAGATCTGCAAAAACCATCACAACAAAGAACTTGGGAGGAAAAAAACCGGCGCCCACACGATGTGGCGCTGATGCATTCGAATGCTCTTGTTTCCAGGCCAGCCCATGCGTCTAGATCAGTCAAGTCGGCAACCCGCCGTGCACACTCGGCTCTAGACCGAGACTCCGCTCCGAAGCAACATCCCCCCACTCAACACCACGCCCGGAACATCGTGACATCTGTCTTTGTCATGGCGAGGACGAGGGTGCCGTAGGGTGCGTTGCCATATACAGGCTAGGTCGACGCCGCGCCCTTGCAGGACCGCTCCGCCAGTCCAGAGCGGTGCTGACTCGTAGCTCCGAGCAGGCGAGGGCGTTTTTTGTTGCGGACTTTGTCGGCCTCCCATTCATGGAAGTTATGGCATTCAACCGCGGTCTGCGCTGTGGGGTGGGTGTGTGGACTTGACGGTGGGACTCTGGGAATTTGACTGGTATTACTGACATACAACCATGGAGCTGTCTGCCCCGCACCGCACCAATTGTAGAGAAGCGGGGCAAAAGGGTAAATTTGACGCCGAAACAGACGGGCTTTGACACGCGGCTGATCTGTTGTTTACTACGGCCTTTTGTCTGTCTTTTGCTCTTCTTCTCTCTTTCTCTTTTCTCTTCCCTTCCTCCTCCCCTCTCCCTTCCTCTCTACATTATTTTTTATCTCTCGTTGTCAATCTCCTACAACTTTAGTGCCACGTCGTCTTTCAAAGCCCAACACACCACCGCCGGCGAGAAACGATGAGTGCCACTGAGGTCCAGGCCACAAAGGCCAACATTGGTGTTTACACCAACCCCGCACACGATCTCTGGGTTGCAGAGGCAGAGCCCAGCCTGGAAGAGGTGCAGAGAGGCGGAGATTTGAAGCCTGGTGAGGTTCTGTTGAACGTCAAGAGCACGGGAATCTGCGGCAGTGACATTCACTTCTGGCATGCTGTATGTTTTTTTCCACGAGTGAAGCGTGTGTCAATGGGAAAAGAGAACTGACTTGAGCAAAGGGCTGCATTGGTCCCATGATTGTCGAAGACACGCATGTGCTTGGCCATGAATCCGCCGGCACTGTCATGGCGTGCCATCCGTCCGTCACGCACCTCAAGCCCGGCGACCGCGTAGCCATCGAACCCAACATCATCTGCGGCGAATGCGAGCCCTGTCTTACCGGCCGCTACAATGGCTGCGAGCGCGTGCTCTTCCTCTCGACGCCCCCCGTCACCGGTCTGCTGCGCCGCTACCTCAAGCACCCAGCCATGTGGTGCCACAAGCTCCCCGACAGCATGTCCTTCGAAGACGGCGCCATGCTCGAGCCCCTCAGCGTAGCCCTCGCCGGCATGGACCGCGCAAATGTGCGTCTCGGCGACCCCGTCATTGTCTGCGGCGCAGGCCCCATCGGTCTCGTCACGCTCCTCTGCTGTCAAGCCGCAGGCGCAACCCCCCTCGTCATCACCGACATTGACCAAGGACGTCTCAACTTCGCCAAGGAGCTCGTCCCCGGCGTGCTCACACACAAGGTGGAATTCAGCCACTCCCCCGAAGACTTCCAGGCCGCCATCCTCAAGCTGACGGACGGCGTCGAGCCCTCGCACGCCATGGAATGCACGGGCGTCGAAAGCTCCATCAACGGCGCCATCCAAACCGTCAAGTTCGGCGGCAAAGTCTTTGTCATTGGCGTTGGCAAAAACCAAATCACAATCCCCTTTATGCGCCTCAGCACCCGCGAAGTAGATCTCCAGTTCCAGTACCGCTACTGCAACACCTGGCCCAAGGCCATCCGCCTGTACAAGAGCGGCGTCATTGATCTCAAGAAACTCGTTACTCATCGCTTCAAGCTCGAGGATGCCGTCGAGGCGTTTAAGACGGCTGCGGATCCGAAGACGGGCTGTATCAAGGTGCAGATTCAGAGTTTGGATTAGATGCGTATTATGGAAGACGGAGTGTTGTGGCGTTGACGACGACGACGATGATGATGACTATACTATGATGATGATACCGGAGGCACTACTATGATTGTGCATGTTTGTTTGTTTTTGTTTCCCTCAAGGCGTACTTGTGACTTCTTTTTCTGGGTTGTTGTTGTTGTTATCTAGTAATAAGGCTAGATGGCGGATTCTATGAATGAAATCATATCAAATGAAACAAAATGAATCAGATGATCAAGGAGTACATGTAGTCCATACATATCACCACTCAAGTCCTGCATCAGAATTCCAGAGGAGAAAGAGCTGGTGCATCTATATTCCTTGCCCTATTGTACAGCTTTCTGGCTTTCCTTGTACGTATTATACATGTGCCCTGTACGCATGTACCCAATTCCATGTTTTTTATGTGTATTATCAAATTCATACATACACACAGGCGAGGTTCTCACTGCGCTCACCGAGTCCATTCATTTACACGCCTATTCAAATGATACGCAGCAACGTTAAATCCAATATATACCTATCTCCATTGCCATACGAGCACTAAACCCTTTTTGTATAAACACAGCATACCATCCCTCCACATGCACAATCTTCTTCTTAATCCCCGTATCTAATCCACCAATTCACCCATCTCACTCACATTACCACTGGCCACTCCGCACCCATTCTATAATTCTACCGTCTCACGCGAATCGAAATCAACATTACTTTGGAAAGAAAAATACATGGATGAAGTTGAACGGGGCCCTATCACCCGCCTGATTCACCAATAAACACATTGAAGCATTTTTAACCGAGATAGATTACATTCGGGGAATGGAAAGGCTGCCTGTTGTCCATATGTCCCAGAAAATCCCTATATTTGAGTAAGACGATGTATCTAACAGGTAAGATTTGTGAGAAGTGAAGTGATGTAGCGAAGTGATTGTATCTGGCCCAAGCACTTGTCTTACATCCGCACAGTACATCATCGCTGATTCTCAGACCAATCTATACCCCCTCTTCTCGAGCCGTCCAATCTCACCATGACGTTACGTCTCGCTCCACATGCCGTTTTTTTCCTACTATACCAGCCACAAACCCCAGCTTACTACCCCAATCTGTGAACAAAGCCAGCCCTAGTCTCAGTTGCCATCTGTCTAAATTCCCAAAAGGAGCAGTGATTGTCCACGAAGCCGCATAATTTACATAGTATCCAATCGCCGTTCTGACCCCATTTAGCACTCAGTTCCTGGGTGTGCCTGACGTGTTATCCTGGCTGGTGATGTCACCGTAACACGCTCGAGGAAGGTATGCCAGAGCCCAGAAGTGAGAAATATTACGTAAAACGAATTTTACAATACGTACAGTAGTAAGTACACCAATATTTCCTACCACAAGCGTCAGGATATACTGCGATTGAAAAGCCGAATGTGTTCAAGGCTACATTTGGAACAATTGCGATTCGGGCCAATTGTGACATGTGCGTGTGTGTGTATGTAAGGAAACAACTCTCCAGACCAAACTTATGTGTACAAACACACTTCTTGTGCCAATTTTTACCAAAAGAGAATCCTCACACATGCACTTGGATTTCTATTCCACCTTCATATCCCATAAATGCCGCCTCGTGTATAACCCTCTCATGTATGTCTCCACCATATCTAGCAAAAAATAGAAAAAAAAAACCAGCAGAAGTACGGTAGCCAGGAATTCTACACTCGTACAGCAACGCGACAAACCGACATCACGTCATACTTGGCCTACATTCCCCTCAGCAATACAGGGACCAACCTGGACTTTCCAGCCGATAAAATAGAGGACTCCTGCATCTTTCCCTACACCATCCGCTCGCGCGACATACGCCACGCGGACGCCACGCGGCGAGGCGAGGCAAGCAAGTAGCCGTGACGCAGGGTCTACAGGGTTGTGAGAGATATGTTGGGAAGGGGGGGGGGTTGCAAACTGGGATTATTTTTCGACCTGGGATGGTGAGATTATAGGAGCCAGGGGACTGGGTAGATGATGCGGTTTGGCGGCGTGGCGTATGCAGGTTGGGCGGTTGGGACATGGGGGTTGTAGTCGATCTCTCTGACGTGCATGCGGGCGTGATGGGCTTGGGAGGGGGGGTAAATTAAGAGGGGGAAGAGGGGGTGGTGGGTTGTCGTTATTTACTCTGTTCGTGAGTGAACTGGACAGTGACGTGATGGCGTGTGGAGAGGAAATTGAGACACTCGATTCGACTCGATTCCCCGCTTGATATGCCCGTCGTGCCTCTCGTGTAGGAACTAGGTTCCTTCCACAGCGCTGTTTTCCTTGTTGAGATGGAGACCACCGTATCTACATCGTGGCTGGCGATTGGATTGAACCCTCATCAGGTACCTGCTGGATACCTTCAAAACTCTAATAGTATACGTCGCGTAAACAAAAAGTCTTTCGTTAGAAACTTTACCAATCTGTGGGGCACATATTGCGGACCGTGAAACGGGATACCGTAGACATGTGGGTCTATGGCACGCGTCAGACTAGTGAGTAGTCTAAGAGAGCTTTGCATGGGCTACAGAATCTGGCATAGTAAGACATTCAGGTACACAATATCGCAACTACATGCCAGATGAGCTTCATTGTCATTGCTCACGATCTCTTCTAACGACACTGGAAAAAAGATTGGGCTTGTATGTACGCCACTCCTGCCTTGATATCCCACAGAATGTAAATCAGGGACTTCGTTTGTCATCTCATTGCTAACTGAACATGTCACATGGATTGACTACCCTGGTTTCTTTGATTTGGAAATCCCAGACTTCTTCTCAGAGCACGCGAAGCACATGTATTGAATCCGCAATGCTGTCATCCAACGACTTTAAACCACTTCCCATAGAGCGGCTCTTCTCGCGCTGCGGCTCCCATCCTCGGATAGCATGCGTCGTTCTAGCCTCGGGTAGCCACGACGATGGAGCAATCAACAGAACCACCGAGGACCTTGGGATTGAGCAAGGAGCTTGCGACTCCCACATGTACAAGTCCACCGCTCGCAGGCCTGTCCTAGTCCGCTGAGCAGAAAAAGTAAATTTGACCGTTCTTACAGATAACGGTGCGTCTCACAGTTCCGAAAAGTGACGCCGAACGTCTGTCATCCGTCGCTCTCCACGACCGGGCCGGCGCTCCCTAGATTTCCGACAATAGCGGGAAACATGGTTTTGGAGATGGAGGACGAAGCGCTGATCGACACAAGTGACGAGTATACACTTTACAGCCACGTGGATCAAGGGTGTCGAACCAGTGGTTCTGACACAATGGCTGAATGAAGATCCGTCACGACAGCGGCTACGTGTGGGGAGAAGACCTGACTGAGGGGGAAACCCCGACCCATGGATTCCGGGTAATGCTAGTGAGGAAAAAGCAGCCGCGGTAAGCTATGTCGTGCGGTCCCGCTCTGGCTCCGAGATCGAGGTACAAGGACATGGCAAATTAGAGTTTGGCCATGCGACGCAGGGTCTTGGAAGCCCAGGGTATCACTGAATTATGACGAGCTTTAGTGGGCGGTAACACGACACTGCTGATTTCTGCAGCACAGTATCGGTATAGCTGCGGGATTAGGTTTGCTCCTCGAGCTGATATCTTACGGCTTGGCTGGTATGAGGTAGTGGCTGCGCATGTTGTTGTTGGGCGTTTCTTACATCTACCGGCATATAGATAGGAATGCGTTGATAGGTATGAGTGCTTGGCCGCAAGATGATTTCACCCAAGCCAAGGACACGCATGTCTTAGCAGTGGCAATCCGTTTCTCATCCGGCGCAGGATGGACTGGCGGTTGAGATACAAGAGAGTAGACCGCATGTTCCTTACACCCTCCCAACACTTTAATCCATCCCTTTTGTTAATTGAGCCACAACATGCTCTCCAGAATTCATACTCTGAACGAAAATAAGTCGCGTCAGCACTGGATGATTACCCTACCTCTTTGAACAAGAACTTCGCAAACAAAGCCAGCAGACCAGCCAAGGCGCGTTATGAATCCAATTTCAAGAGCCTGTCCATGTCAGGGAGAAGATCTTGAGGCTGAGCCATTGAGAGTCATCGTATACATACTTTGACAAGCGTGTTCCAGCGTTAGCTTCGATCATCTCAAATCACCATATCGGCCCGAAGGGGGGCTCACGTATGTGGTGTGGATTGCGAATGAACACATGCCCGGTGCCACCGTCACAACCATGCACATATCCTGTTTTCCATGGAATATGTGTTGCAAGGTGCGGAGCAACTAGTTTGACAGGAGAACGACAATGCCGATCACGGTGACGATGCGTACTAACAGGTGAAGAACTGGTGGTTCCCCCGAATAGCGGGGGTGCGTGAATCGCGTAAGTTGCCTTGTAGATATCTGGGGGGCGGGGGTGGTCCTAGGATCAATGTCCTCGTTTGACGTAGCCTCGTGACGCTCATAGGTACCAATCCTCCGACGGGTAATAACATGGTTTAATTCAGGCCCTATGGGCTGCAAAGTCCGAGCGCGTTGCACGGACAACTGGCTCTGTGTACTTACAGAGAGCTTATTGTGGAGAGTTGAGATAGAGAAGAGGGCGTGGTTGGATGCATGAATCAGTACTGAACGTAGTGGCGGTCAGAACCCTGCTGACGATCTTGACAGTCTGACGCTCAGTGTCGTGTGTAGTTTACTAGGTAACCCGTAGCGCACTGGTGTCTTCATAGAGCGCGTGGGATGCTTGCTCTAGGGCCGCTACACTCGCTACGGAGCCATCTCCAGCAACGCTTTCAGGGGGGGTTAGAGTTACGCCTAGCGGTGACGGGTCACATCACGCGCTAGCCTTCCAACACTCTGGTTCATACTGCGCCGGTTCAACGTTTTTATTGTCTGGTAGCCGCTATTACCTACAAGCTGCTCAAGCAGACACAGATGTGTTTCCAAAAGCATCCATAACCGCAAAGTCATGCCCGACGGCAGCCATGCATCTCTCACAACTCTCGATCTTGATTCTCATGCAACTGGCTGATACGGTGGCTGCACGTCCGGTTTCTCTGAAGCTAATAAATGCCCGCCGTACAGAAGGCTATACTGCTAATGAGGATCGTCCGTTGGAGCGCCTAGCCGTAGTGTTGATATGTATTGTATTGGCATTTCTACTTGCGTTGTCCCTAGGTGAGTGCAATGCATGCTGAGTCGTGAATCATTGCGATGTTCGCGTGGTCGAGTTTTTGCTAATGGTATCTAGGCTACCGCGCCGGCCGCCTAGCTGGCCAAAGATCAAAGACTCGCGGCTCAGACATTCTCGTATTCGTCCAAGGCTTTTTTTGTACGGCTTTTCTGTTTATTGTGGCTGTACTAGCGGCTGGCCTCGGCTTGGAAACGAAAAGGCAATGCTTTGTCGCAATACGAATCTGCCTGGCCTCGTATGGCTTGACGAAGATGACTCTGTCAGTTTTCCGCAACTTCGAACCAGGGATGTACCTGCTTACATTGACAGATATCTCTTCTTGTTCGAGCGTGTTCACATAGTGCGAGCCTCATTTCTAGATCGCCGACGTGATCCCATATATGTCATCGGAGTGCTCTTGACAACATGTGGATTTATAGCAATAGCAAGCTGGCAATACACCGACCCCATGGCCGAAATCTCCGCCCAAGATGGCCGTTGCCGGATCGGACCTAAACACGACAGTGCGATTGCCATTATAACAGTTGATACATTCATCAGCCTGATCCTAACAGGGATCTTTGTATGGCAGCTTCGACCAGCGGTATCTTCACCATTGCCTGAAATGCCAAGTATGACGAGTACCCTGAGTAAGACGACCGACGCTCCGACCAGGGGACCCAAGTCGTGGGTGAAAAGAGTGCGCAAGATTATATGGGGCTTCAACCTGAGCGAATTGCAGGCTATGGTGCTGCGCAACATTGTGGGCTCGACCATCATGCTTGGTTGTACTTTGTTCAACAACGTCATTTTCCTGACACATGATTGGAGCAAGGTTGGCCAAGCCTGCATGTTGCTGTGTTTAAGCGATGGTCAGTAACTCGGTGTTTTTGTTGTTCTTCCGCTAAATACTCTTGTAGTGATCATTGGAATGGTTGTTACGCAGTGGTTGACAATGCGCCAAGCCGTGCAAGAGCGCTCACCTTCTCGCCCTTCGATTGCGACTTATCCACTTGCCATCCCTGCATCTTGCACTGGTACTGAGAACTCTGGTAGGAGCCTCCCAAGTTCTAGCGGCCTATATGGGGAGATATTAGCACCTGTGGGTGGCGTGGCGATTGGTGCCTCACCACTCAAGGTTCCTTGAATGCACCAAAGCTGCAAAGGACTTCGTAACTTTAGTCGGATTTTCCAACAGTGTCCTATTGGCTGTATACGTGCAGATCAGATCACTATGTGTCGTCGGCTTCTTCGTGGTGGCTCGCGAGCAGCCGTGGCACCGATTCATGCCTTTTTTTTGGCACTGTTCCTACCCAGCATTGCAATCGAGGCATTGTCTCAGTGCAATTTCCTGCACCGAAGAGATGGAAATTGATTGTTGTCGACTTTCAAAATCGAGATGAGCATCGAACAAAATCGGGCCCAGTGCAGATAGGAGATCTTGGCGCTCCAAGATGCGATCTTAAGGTTGTGGAATGGATAGATTGAACGAAAGGAGAATGTCCAGGGGGCAGTAATAGATTCGGTGGGAGATTTTCATGCACTTATAACGAGGTGCTGCTGGAAACGATATCGCAACACGCCGGTCTTCTTTCAGCACATACACATCAAGTCGCACCGATTGCTCACTACTCGTCAGTCTTGAAATGTGAAGACATTTGGGGGCTAAAAGCGCCCACTGCCTTTGCAATTGACAAGATATCTTACTGTACCGTATCGGACGCGAGGACTAGTAAGGCGCGAATATCTGGGTCCATGTGGTCGCTGGGCTCCTGGTGAGTCATCAGCCATGACCTCTAATATGTTATTAATACATTGTCCAAAACCCAACGAAAACCCCAATCTTGCAAAGCGAGCCGTAAATCCCTCCTGCGATGACTGATGACCATTGGCCTTCTGGTACAAAATATCGTGTTGATTCAGGAGTTTAGGTTGCACAAACGGGGATGGTACACGATAGAAAGACCGAACCCGACGCGGAGAATACGCGACACTTCATGGATGCTTGCGACATACGGCAGAGACGAAAAATGGTGAATTAAAGAAAGGAGTTGGCCAGCTGTTCAAAGTATTTCCTGGCGACGTCTAATGGCACGTTCACGCCCTTGGAGCGCTCTTGGTCGGTGAGCTGTCTCTCCAGTTTCTTTTCCAAAACTTCAAATGTAACGTCCTCTTGGGGCTGGTTAACTAGCTGCAAGTTCAGACTGTTGCTGTCCACTTCACGACCGCCAACAACGATGATATGGTTGTACTTTTTTCTTCTTGCTTCGGCAATCTTTTTTCCAAGTGAACGGTCATTTGTGTCGATATCAACAGGAAGGTGGATAGTCGACAGAGGTAGAGGCTTTGGGGATGATGATGATGACGCTTCTAAAGCGTCCTGTGGCTTCAAGCCCGATAGTACCGACTGGATGTGCGAAACATGCTCCAGAACCTTGGGGTCTGAATTCAATGATAACACAATGGCTGGGCGGGGGGAAAGCCAAAAGGGATATTTTCCGGCATAATGTTCAATGAGCAGAGCCATGAAGCGCTCAATTGATCCGTATATAGCACGGTGGATAATGACAGGACGACGTAGTGCTGAATCAAGGCCTGTATCCATGGATGTCTGGGAGCCTGCCTCCAACTCCTCGGGCGATGCCTGGTATTGGAGGTTGAAGCGCTGTGGTAACTGAAAATCGAGTTGGATGGTAGCCGTTTGGTGTTCTTTGCCATTTGAATCTTTCAAGATGATGTCAATTTTTGGGCCGTAAAATGCTCCGTCGCCCTGATTGATAGACCACTCGCTACCGATATTGTTCAGCGCAGTTGTCAGCTGTTCCTCGGCGCGATCCCATTCCTCAATGGTGCCAATGAAGCTGTCCTTTGGTCGGGTAGACAAAAGCAACTTGTATGGACCCAAGCCAAACGTATTGTACACCATGCCTACAAACTTGAGCGTTTGCTCAATTTCTGCCAGGATTTGGTCTGGGCGACAGAAAATGTGTGCATCGTCCTGGTGGAAACGCCGGACCCTCGTCAACCCTGTTAATGCGCCTGAGATCTCATTCCTATGCAGGGCACTGAAATCGGCAAGCCTGACTGGGAGGTCTCTGTAGCTCCTGATCTCGTCTCGAAATAGCAAGCAGTGGCCTGGGCAGTTCATGGGCTTGAGTCCAAACTCGCCATCCTCGCCGCCCTCGGCTTCTGGTATTTGAGAAGTGGCGCCCCGCCCCTGTACGCTAAACATATCTTCGGCATAGTTCTCCCAGTGCCCAGACTTTTCCCACAGCGATTTTTTGTATATTATGGGCGTGATGACCTCGTGAAAGCCGAACTGTGGGTATTGCGCGCGGAGGAAGGCCTGCAACTTCTGGAACACATAGGCGCCATTGGGCAGAATGAGCGGCGAACCAGGACTGTACGGCGAAGTGATGAAGAGATTATGCGTTTGCGCGAGCGTTCGATGGTCTAGAGGAGGCGTAGGAGGGCTGGTTGGGGTTGGATCGAGTCGCGCGCTGGTGGCGTCTTCAGATGAAACCGTGACTGTATGCTGGAATTGCTGAGGGGCTGAGCACGAGCAGCTCCGAGCGAGCAGTCGTCCCTGTTGATGCCATACTCGGGGTTGTAATTGGGGCCGCCTGGCGGCTTGCAGCGCGCGTGAAAGCTGGCGCAATGGCGGCATGGGAAGTCGTGGGCCCTTGGGATATATTGGCGTGAAGTTCAGGATGCGCTTTGAACGCTAGCCGGCTTGGCGGGGCCTGCCCCCCCTCCCCGCCTCGCCCCCCCCAAAACACGGGCGATGACGTTGACGCGTCAGGGTGTCAACACCATCTCCCCACGCGTAGACTGATATCGCAGGTAATGCGCTATGAATGTTGCTTCGACCGCATGCTGATAGTCAAAGAGCCTGGTCTTCTCCGCAGCGTATCCAAGCGTGGCACGCAACTTGTGCCAGAAGTCTAATTGGCCCCGCACCACGTCACACCTTAGACAGTGGCGACTTTGTTCTGCCCAGCCTCCACCGTTACACACACTCCAGTGATAGTGAAATCGTCACTGTGACCCTACTCGCCTTGTTCTTGCAATTAAACCTACTCTGCATTTTCCTAGTGCCATCCTACTCCATCGTTGCTGCATCGCGCCCTTCACACCAATCCCGTTACCGCAGGACATGAGCGCGCGTTCCAGACGGCTAGATCGCAGCCTAGGAAGTAGCTGGAGTGACGCCGAGTTTACATCTGACGACGAAGGCGGCTCTATCTTCACCGGGAGCGACACAGGCAGTGAGGTGGAATTAGAAGAGTCAGACAGAGAAGTCGCGCAACAGCCAGACCCAGCATCCATTGTTACCCCCAGACCCAAGCGCGATCATCTCAGACAGCCGACTCCCACTGCCCAACAACACAGCACACCGAGCAGAAAGCAGGCCAGTCAGATAAGAGTGAATCAGCCTCAGAAAAGAGGATCCGACTCAGTCACGCCGAGACCGTACAAACGGGATCCCCGAACGCCCAAGCCAGACGCGTCGGGACCAGCCTTTATCATGCCGTCTATGGAAAATGCAAGCGGGTACGATGGATCACCCATGTCCAAGTCACAGCCACGCAATCGAGCCAGGAATACGGCACAGAACCGGTCGTCCAACTCACGTCGTACGTCTGCAAGATCCTCCATACACGGGTCACTCGATGACCACGGGTCATCCAGACAAAGCCAGGAAGAAGTCAGCCCATGGCACTATGTCAACCTCTTCTGGGAAAACGTAGGCGCTCCGCTCTTTGCCCACTTCATGGACATCTTCTCGTACGCCATTCGCCATTTTGTCAAGCCCTTTCTAGGCGTGGTCATGGGTGTTGGTATCTTGGTATTTGGAATCCAGTTGGCATCCGGTATGCTTCGCTTCACGGTTTCAAATGCTGTATTAGGTCCAGTGTGCGCGCTCCCAGGCTCTTCCTACTTGATCCCTGCCTGTGCTACTGGCGACTTATTCGCGGCACACGAAGCCGATTTCGAGGAGCTCGTCAATGTCCAGAGCAAATTCGAAGACATTCTCGATGCATCCAAAGACACGTCGGCGCTGCCATCTACAATCAAGAACTCTGAGCTTGCGATTCGCGACCTGCGCATTCTGGTCAAGCACTCCCGGCTGCCAAGTCGAAAAGCGTTGGAAAATGAGTTTGAGTACTTTGTCCAGACCGCAAATGAGGCTTCTGTGGATTTGTCCCGCTACAACAGCCGCATAGGCGCAGCTATGGACCGCGTCATTGCGACCAATACGTGGACCATGAATGTGCTTACTGGCATCTCTGAGCAAGAAGCGTCGGTGGGTGCCATTAGCAAAATCTTCAGCCACATCACGAGCGCATTCATCGCGCCGCCGCCGACGCTCCAAGAGCGCATCTTTGATCAATACGTACTCCACGTCAGCAAGAACAAAGACGAGATCACGCGGCTGATTGAAACGGCGCACGCGCTTCTCCTGGTCCTCAACAACCTCGAGGAGCGCCTCACGACAATCTTCGACATTGCCACCAACGACGACCAGACCATCACGCGCTCCCAAGAAGAACTCTTATCCTCGCTGTGGACAAAACTCGGTGGCAACCGCGGCGACGTCACGGCAAACAAGCGATCTCTCACCCTCCTCTCCAACATCAGCGGCTACCGCCAGAGAGCCGTCGTCCACGTCTCAGAAACACTGCTCAAGCTCCAGGAGATTCAGGCGGGGCTGGAGAACCTGCGTGAAGGCGTGGCGGCGCCCGAGATGCTGGGGTTCAAGAGTGGAGTCCCGATAGAGGTTCATATCGATACCATCGGCAAGGGTGTCGAGAGACTGCAGGTTAGCCGTGGAGAGCAGCTGAGGGCAGAAGGCGATACGCATAGGAGGCTTATGCGGGGACATGACGAGGGTGATGGGAGGAGGGAGTTACCGGGGCCTGCTGTGACTGTGAGACGTCAGTAGAAGCACTGGATCCAAGCGATTTTCTGTGATGGAGTAGAGGTGTGGGCATGATACGAAAGGGACGGTTGTATGGCGTTTGTGTGTTTCATGTCTTTTTTTTCATAGTTGGACTCCTCCTCTCTTGATAGCACATTCATAGATACCCACTTGACCTTATCTTCCTGTGTAGCTTCAAAATGGTCATGTCGTTCACAACAACACACCTAGTACATCTGCACCTCAACCAAACACCTCCTCACACCGCCCTCGCCCAGCCCCTCAAACTCCACCTCACTCGCTACACAGCCTCTCCGACTACACTCCTCCCTGAATCCGTCGACACTGCCGCCAACGCCAAAATACACACGCTTCGCAGCTACCACCGTCTTGCCCGTCTTGACGCGCCCCATGAGCGCTACAATGGCGTCGGCAAACGCCGTCAGGGATGCTGGACTGTATATGGTTTCCGAGCCAAGGATAAACGTATTGAGCTCAGGGACCGACGGAACCAGCGGCAACAACGCATCTGTTGGGGCCCACGAGCCCGAAATCAGAGTAAGCGATATACCCGTTGCAGCGAGGGCGGAAGAGAAAGCCTGAAGAAGGGCGGGAGTAATGTATAAATCCTCATGGTCTTCTTCTCCTTCTTTCTTTTCTTCTTCACTCTTGCCCGTACTCGGCTCAGCCGCACTCTCAGATCCCAAGGTGGACGCCAGACCTGCAAGCGGGTTTCCGTCTGGAAAAAGCGTGCGGCTCTGCTCGTCGTCCAGCGTCGCTGTCCACGCGAGCAGCAGATTCGGCAGCGTGACCAGCCTCAGCACATCCTCGTTGTAATCGGTAAGCGTGAAATACATGGAGAGCTGGTTCCGCAGCGCGTACATGAACAGCAGCAGCGAGGGCAGCGCACTGCCGCATCCCATTTCGATCACGTGGTCCACGCGCATGAGGTCGTCGAGGTCTTTTCGCGGGCCGCGGTCCAGCAGGAACCGCACGAGATCGAGGCTGCATTCCCAGGTTTTGTAGCCGCCCTCGTAGATGTTTTGCTCGAGGTCGCTGGTGGACAGGCCGGTGAGAGGGTGCGCCTCGGTGCCGTCGTCTTCGGCCATGAGCTGCAGCCGGGCGTCGAAGAGTTCGCGGCGGGGGAGCCGTGCCGTGAAGCCTTTGGGCGAGGTGAGGGTTAGGGTTGAGAAGGAGATTTTGTCGGGGAGCGTCGAGAGCTGCGTGTGGTTAGTGCGTTGAGTGATGCAGTTTATAGCCAAGTCGATAGGCGATTTTCAAAAGGGAATAGACAAAGCAGTGAATGGATACTTGACATTAACAGATATTGAACACATGGGCTTCTGCATAACGATGAAATGTATACCTACCATTTCCTGTATGTCATGTGCTTTGGCTGGAAGCGGCGGCGGCATGTTGCTTTCCGCCGCCGTCTGCTGTTGACCCTCGTGCTCTTGCACATCGTTGGGATCCTCTTCTATGTCGTCGCCCGAGAAGCCGAAACTAAACGCCATTGTGGGTGAGTACTGGGAACAAGATGCTCGTATAGTCGAATTGGGTTAGTAGCAGAAAGATGGCACGCACGCTGGGCCAGGATGACGAATTGGCGGGGCGCGAGAAGCATGTGAAAGATAATTTTGGGTTTATCGATAAGACGATGGTCCGTGCGCGGGTGAATGTTGAGGTGGAGGATCATGTTGAGAACAGCTTGGTTATATGCAGCCGTCCTCGTTCGACTGGATAAACTACGTTGAATGTGGAGGAACGGTTATTAGTTACTTTGCCAACTCAAAGTACAAGGCGTTCCCCCCCCGTGGTATTCGCTCCATGTGTGCGATGTAAAGAAACCCAGGCCTTTGCACACAATAGCGCAATATCAGCGACTGGTGTCTGATGTGATCTGAAGCGTGCGTGTTTTTAATCCTTGTTCAATTCAGTCCCATTCTCATCGCCGTTGCCGGTTTGGCGGTCTTCAGCCAGGGTCCTCTCCAGCTGCCTTGCGCACGCCTCCATTGTCTCCTTGTCCAGCTCCCAACCGGTTGTGTCGATGCCCTTTGCTTTTGCATCTTGTATGAGTTGCTGCCGCTCGAGGATCTTCTCGCGCATGAGCTTTATTGCGCCGCCCAGCACTACAGCCTCGCTGCGGCCCTGCCCTTCGAGCCCCGGTACGATGGAGGCGAGTCGGTCGAAGCCTTCCCTGATTGCTTCGCGTCGCTTCTGCTCGGAGCGGATGTGGTTCTCCTTCTTTTGGGCTTCGGTAAGGCGAGGCCGGTCGGCGGCGTTGGTGGGGCTTTGAGATGCTGGCATGGCGGCGCGCGGGCAGGCCAATTCGTCGTGGGACGGGCGGAGGAGTGGTGCCCGTTCGGATGGACTATCGCGACAGGATGAAGCCAATATCCGGGATTGGTGGCGTGCGCTATGTGGAAAATGGCGGGGCTATGGTTCTTGGGTGTCGGAGCGCTGAGCGCAGCGGCTGCGTAGGCTATGGGGGAAAGTAAGTGTGAGGCCCGAGTGACATGCTCGTTCGGTCCCAGGCACAGGCGTAGGAGGAGGAGTAGTAGTAGCGAAGGGCCCGGATGCGCACACGCCCACGCGAGGCTATACTATAAACCTCGCGGCTGGTGAGCTGGTGTTTGACGTTGCCGCTGTGAAGGCTGCCAGAGTCGGGGCCTTTCATGTGAATTGGCCGGCGCGTACCGAGCTTAGAGGGATGTGGATGCAATCAACCAGGCGCAGAGGCGCGCCGGCGAAATGAAGCGAATCTCGTCTATGGGGCTATGTCGGCGGAAAGCGAGTAAGATGGCGACGGCGAGCGCGAGAGAAAGAGAGAGCCTGTCTCTAGACGCCTCAGCGCGCGGTCGAGAGGCTATCGATATGCGCGTGGGGTGACAGCGGGCGCTGTACGTGGCTAGCCACCGCGCGCATATACGTGCCTGGCAAGACGGCGGTGAAAAGGCGCGGAGCCCACAGAACAAGGCCGAGTGTGCAAAACCACCTGGCCGTGCTGGCCGGCCATGCGAGACGGCGAGCCCAGGCGAGCAGCTCGCACTTCATTAAAGCTTTGTTTCAACCCCGACGTGAGCGCCCACGAGCGAATCTGAGGCCGCCTGCTCCCTGCTCCCTGCTCCCTGCTCCCTGCACAGCCAGAGCGTGTGACGCACTGCGGTGGAGCTTCCGCCGCGCCACCACTACCAGCAACCCCGTCGCCCAGAGACGCCGTCGATCCTCTCAGACCTCACGTCCCGGGCGCCTGAAGGAGAGCGAGAGAGGAGCTTTGTGATGCGTTTGTCGAGGGCGGCCATGAAGTCGCGGGGGAAACGGGTGCTCTTGGAGTCTCGGATGAGCGAAAAGTCCTTCATCAGGTCGTTGATGGACGTCGACGAGCGCTGGATGTGCTTGGGGGCGGCGGGGACATGCTGCACTCGCTTCTGCCGGGGCTGCAGCAGGTACGAGAGGAATGCCACGCGCAGGGCATAGAGGTAGGCATCTTGCGAGGAGACGGGGCGCTTCCCACGGGCCGTGGCCGAGCTGTTGCTCCGCAGGCGCTCTCGTGTCTGCAGGCTGTTTATGCGACGGTTGCTGCTACGGTGGCCGTCCATGGCTGGGCGGGCGGGCGAGCGGGTTCAATGGCGTCGACGAGGAGGCGTGGCCGTGGCCAGGGGCATGTCACGGCCGCAGTGGCGGGCGCAGCAACAGCGGTGGTGGGTGGTGGTGGGTGGTGGTGAGCGTGTACTTGGGCGGCGGCGGCGATGATGGCGGCCCAGTGGAGTGAGGGATAGATGGGCAGGCTGTTCCAGGTAGTGGGGGGGGGGCGGCGAGGGCGAAGGGCGACAGGGCGATTGTTTCCTTCTCCTTTCACGCCGGCTGTCGTGTCCCTTTGCCTCTGCAGTCGTCGGCGTCGTTGTTCGCGGGCGCTCTCGCTCTCTCGCTCTCTCTCGCTCGTGGGCCAGGAGCGCATGCCCGAGTACCAGGACGCCACGGTCAAGCGCACCTTTGCCGTTTTCTTGAATGCCTTCAAGGACCCCTCGTTCCGCAAGAACATGGAAAAGGACCGCCGGGTCGAGGACCTGCTGCTGATCTTCTACTCCAATGCCACAAAAGAGCTGTCAAAGGGGAAGGCACCGACCGACGACAGCTGGAAGCTCATGGTGGACCGCCATGTTGCCCTCTTCCTCCGCCTCGTCAGCTCCTGCCTCAGGGACCACGACTGGGCCAAGGACCGACCGGAACTCACGCAAAGGCTCGCCACCATGGAGAAGAAGCTTCTGCTACACGATCAGGATTTGGCGGCAGAGAACCAGCGCAACGGCGGCCAGGGCGGCACAACCATTGAAGTCGAAGTTCCCCGGAGCTACGAGGTCAAGGACATGCCGCTTGTCCTGGTCGTGTCGCGCATCTTCGCCATTGGCTATTCCGATGTGCAGGCCGACATCAACCGATACAAGTCGGTGTGGACCGAGAAGGCTGCCCTGCAAGATCTCAAGACATACCAGGCCCATCTCAGCCTTATGACAAAGAAGACGCTCAACGCAGATGACTTCGATACCGAGGAGGCATACGAGTCATGGAAGAACCAAGAGATTCCAGACCTCTCGCAGATGATATTGGCCATTATCCAGTCCAGCCCTGAACTCGCAAAGAGCTCGCCTGGTGGCGCCGTGCCGCAATTCAAGCCAAAGATGGCTGTGGACGCAGGCTACTCAGACCCCTCGAGGCAGGGGTCCGCGTCTTCGGAGAGCGGGTCGTCATATGTGATTGACCAGCCTGTAGACATGAGTGGGCTCAACATCAGCAATGACTCAGATGATGACTCCTCGTATACCTTTATCCCTGCCGATACACGTGGTACTTACCGTGCAATACTGACTGAAGCGTTGAAGTATGACTTGTCGGATGCGGAGCTCGAACCAACTGAAGCCACTGCCGAAAACCCGTCTGTCAAGCTTCTGTCAAAACAATCTGCTGAGCTCTTGAATGAGATAGCCCTCAGATGGAGGATACCTCAGTTTTCCCGCCTTGTCTTGTTCATGGATGTTATACGCGACAAGTACGTCAATCAGGAGATCGACCTGGATACCCTCGACGCAGCCTTCATCTACGTCAAGGAGCCGCCGCCAGCAGACAAGAAATCAAATCGACTGAGCTACATTCCAGTGCAGGAATCTTTGTTTGACCGCTCCAAGTGGACAATTCACGACTATGCGCTTAACCAGCAGATTTTGAGTTCATTGCATGACTGCCTGTTACGTGAGCTGTATGAGCTCATGATGCATGTGTACGAGTCCAAACCACCTCCACTTGGTCCTGTCATGTACGTCCTGGAAAACCACATTTATGACGACCCCACCTTTCCCGGTACAGAAGAGGAAATGGATAAATTTACCGAGCAATTGCGCCAAGGTCTACGGGAGAAGGCTGGTGACGTCTATCATGAGCTTCTCACAAAACACATTCCGGACACCAAGGAAGAGTGGGAATTTTTCCACGTCATTGAGCTTGGTCGTGCTGTTGTCAAGTTGTGCGAGCGGATACAGAAGCGCTATCGCAAGAACCCGGAAGTCATGGGCGCCAGTCCGATGATGTGTCTTGTCGAGAAGATATTCCCTTCATATGCCGCCGATGCGCGAGATTTGGTCGCCCGGATCATGGATGTTGCTCAGAGCAAAGGAGAGGAAGTGCCGATTCAGGATGGATTTGACCTGTACAAGGAGCTTGTCGAGATCCGCCGCATTCACAGCGACGCCTTGCCGGGCCAGAATTTTGCTTTCAACATCGAAGATCAGCTGCAGGATTTTGTATGGAGATGGATACAAATGACAGACGAGAACCTGGTTGGCTGGGTCGAAAACGCCTTCAAGGCAGATCCATTCCAGATTCAGTCGCAGAACCCCATTCCCATGGACGATGAGAGACATAGCGTTTCGGTTGTTGATATTTTCCGGTCCTTCAATCAGAGCATCGAACAAATCGTAGCTCTGAATTGGGACAATGATGTCCATTATGCCAAGTTCATGACAGCTCTTTCCAAGTCAATCGGCTCTGCCCTCGCAAGGTATTGCGAGCTCGTGGAACAAAAGTTTGCCCGAGAGATGGACCGTCTGACGCCTGAGCAGGAAGCTGCTGCTAACCAGACCAGACAAGAAAAATGGCTGTCGACTGTCAAGGATTTCTACAGCCAAAAGGAGAAGATTGAGCCCTTCCAGTTCTATGCCGAGGTGAGTTGCCAGCCTAGACGCGCAGGATCCATACTGATTGAGACAGTCTCTCGTCAAACTCAACAACATTGAATATGCGATGCAGCAGCTAGACAAACTCGAACGCGAGATTGGCGTCGATGCTTGCGCCGAGGTGATCCAGAAGAACGCTCCACCCCAGAACCAGCGCCTTCGCAACAACAATTTTGTCTTCACCATCAAGATAATTGAAGCCGAAGACTTGAAAGCATGCGACATGAATGGCCTCAGTGATCCATACGTAGTGCTTGGTGATGAGTATCAGAAGCGCCTGGCAAAGACACGAGTCATCTACCGCAACTTGAACCCTCGTTGGGAAGAGACCGTTGACATCACCACAAACGGCCCCCTTAATGTTGTCGCGACGATATGGGACTGGGATGCCATGGGCGACCACGACTGCGTTGGCCGAACGTCGCTCAAGCTTGACCCATCGCATTTCAGAGACTATATGCCCCGCGAGTACTGGCTCGACCTGGACACTCAAGGCCGCTTGCTACTACGTGTGAGCATGGAGGGCGAGCGAGATGATATCCAGTTTTACTTTGGCAAAGCGTTCAGAACACTTAAGAGGACTGAGCGGGACATGACACGGAAGATCACAGACAAGGTAAGACGCCCACATCAGCTCGGACGGCCCAGACTAACCATGAAAGCTCTCGTCATTCATTGGCTACAAGCTTTCTCGCCGGTCGCTTGATGCTCTACTCAACAAGGGCGTTGCCTCCAAGGTGACAAACTACTTGGGCAATTTCCGAGCTGCACGACCCATATCGGTTATCCAAGGCCCTACACAGCAAGAGATTGCACAAGCTCTGGGTCCTCTGTTCGTCTACTTTGACGAAAACTTTGCCATTATGAAGCAGACTCTGACAGATGCGGCCATGATCATGGTCATGACACGATTATGGAAAGAAGCGCTATCAACAATAGAGTCGTTGCTCGTGCCGCCACTTTCGGACAAGCTCTCGCAACAGCGCCCGCTAACCCAACAAGAGTTGGACATTGTCTTCAAGTGGCTCAAGATGCTGTTTGATTTCTTCCATGCAGTCGATGAAGACGGCAACGTCGAGGGTGTGCCGATGGACGTTCTCAAGTCGCCCAAGTACCACGAGCTGCAGAACCTCAACTTTTTCTATTTCGAGGCTACCGAAGACCTCATCCGCACATCTGAATCCATGGCTGCAGCCAGCGCAAAGCGACAGCAAGAGCAAGCCCAGCGCATGAACCGCATGTCTGCCCCACCCGCCATGGGCCACCAATTTGGCGGCGCTGCAGGCTTTGCAGGCATGCCGACTCGAAAACACAAAACCATCATGCTGTCGCGTAACCTGGGGACCATGAAGAAGGCCAAGGAAGAAAAGAGAAAGGAAGCTCAGGCTGAGCCAAACGACGACATGATACTCAGGATTCTGAGAATGAGACCAGAAGCGGAGAGGTATCTGAAAGACCGCAGTAGGCAAAAGGTATGTTGTGACGTTTCTCGCTGGTTTGCTGCCATGTATCTGACGAGTGAATCTAGGAACGTCTCGCCGCTGCCCAAGCAGCAGAGGCAATTGTGCGTCAGAGCCTCAACGCGGGTGGTGGCCGCATGGGCCCCCCGCGTCGGTAAATGGGCAAAGGGGAGGGGAGGCTATATCGACTCGGCATGTTTATGGGGATCTGGGGCTGGGCTGGGCTGGGCTAGCTGGCGTTTGGTTCGACAGCGTTTTCCGTCTGATACCTCTTCGGCATTATTTCTTCTATATCCTTCCATGGCTGGCTTTGTTTTTCTGTCAGCAGCTAAGGGGATGCAAACAGGGTATTTGGCGTCTTCATTTGAGGTGTTTTGTGGAAAGGAGATGGAAGACGTTAGTATGGTATATCTTATTTAATCACGACTCTCTATAGGGAACACGGCGTTGGTTGGTTACGGTTTTTGTTAGCGAAGTATATGAATGACATGCATGTGTTCATGGCAAGACTGTTGGTTCATGGTGGTCAAGACTATAGTGCAGTCTGGCACAAGTGTTGATAAAGTGGAAGGTCGGAAGCGACAAGGACAACGGGCATGTCCAAAATGAAAAGAGAGCTTGATTGAACTGGTATATACACATGACTTGACCCCACATGCGGTAATCTACCAAGTCTCACCGGGCTTCCTTGCCTGTGACGTCGTTAGCCATATGTCACTATTCGCAACATGCAACTTACCAACATGGCGCCCTTGCCTCCCAGTTCGGCCTCGAGACCATCTGGGTAGGTCTTGGGAACACTGATCTTGTCCGGGTAGACGGACTTGACGGCTGCGCAAAGGCCTACGACCGAGGCAACGAAAGTGCCCAGGAGAACGAAGCCCCATTGGGGAGTAAAGTGATTGTAGTCGTACAGCGCCAGCGCACCGAGAATGTCATGGTCCTCGTGGCAGGGCTCGCCATAGTTGCGGCGGTCCTGCTTGTCCCACCAGTCGCCGTAGGGGTCGCGGTTTCCTCGCTTCTCGGCGGGTGGGTTGATGTAGCCGCCGTTCTGTTGCCATCAGCATTGGGTCCCCCGGCTGGGTCCAGCATTCAGACGCGTACTTGGTTCGGGTCAGCCAGCTCGACGGCGGCCTTCTCGGCGTCCGTCAGGGCGGTCCGGACCTGGGTGAATGGCGGGCGTGGGCGTGCGGCGGAGGGGACAATGGCTCGAGCCAGCGGGCGGGCCGCTACAATGCGCCTGGAAAACATGCTGAAGGGCTGTGAGTATACGCTCGAGGGGGGTTGCCTGGGGTGTGCTCGTACGTGGGCGGCGCAAATGCGGGGGGTTGTTCGACGGGTGGCAGTATTGGTGTGTCGTTCGCGATGAGCTCAGTTGCGGAACCCCAGTTGGGCTTGGCGGGCAACGTGGGCCGGGCTGCTCTGCGTAGACGGACGCCCACCACACCACCACTGCCACCACTGCCACCACTGCCACCACCACCACCCCCAAGGCGCTGCCTGGCTTATGGCGGCGTCGACGCGAGAGGCCAGCCAGACACAGCTGGCCAAGAGGCAATTGCAGACGCGGTAAATGTCTACCGTCCCACTTCTCGGCCGCACAGCGTATCCGCCCATGCCTCTGCAGCCTTGGTGTCAAAGGCCCAGGCAATGCGCGCCCGTGCCGGTAGCTAGCGTGATTCCTACCAAACATTATCGCCGACGCTGTTTTTTACCATCTCACAACTTCGACATCACATTGCATCATCCCAGCGCGACCCGGAATCTGAATTCCGGCCCCGTCACCGCTCTCAGCGCCCTGCAGGCTCCTCTGTGACACTCGTTTTGAGCTGGTATATGTTGATTTGGCCGCGCGCCGGGTGGTCTCAAGGCTCCCCAGGCCGCCTCTCTCGCCCTTCCTGAATGGAAGAAGTTAACGCCGCGGATCGCGCCCTCGACTCCATCCCACCACGCGACCCGGCCGACGCACCCAACCCCTCCGCCATCGCGCCCCATCCCGATGCGCCCGCCAACGACGATGCGCCGCCCATCAAGCAGGAGGACCAGCTTGCGCCTGTAAATGGCCATGATGGTGGCGTCATCGACCGGCCCTCGAAGCGGCGGAAACTCGACGACACCACGACGCCGCGTCGCTCCGCCTCACGCGCGGCATCGCCCCCGTGGAAGTCGTTTGTGGCAGACGGGCCCACGACCGTCTTCGAGAACGGCGTCAGGAAGTCCTCGCGTGTGAACAGGGACGCTGCACCCCCGACACCCGAGCCCACAAAGCCCAGCAGCTCGCGCCCGCCGGCCAAGACGACGCAGACGAATGGGACCCCGAGGCATGCCGCCAAAAGGGAGCCGCGCAATGGCTCAGGGCCGACGTCGGTCCCAAAGGGGAAGGCTGCGTCCGCCCTCGCCAGAAAGGCATCGGCACAGTCTTTGTCCACGCCTGCCCGCAAGTCGGAGCGGACTACAAAGGTTTCGGCTCTCGCAAAAACGACGCCGCTCGCATCGCCCGCATTGCAGAACGCGACGCCCAGTAGCGCCACTCGCAAGCGGGGCAGTCGGCTGAGGAGGGGAACTCAAGCATTGACTGACGAGCCAGATGACGAAGCCATGGGCACTCCCGACACCAATGGCCATGACCCCGATGCTGGCCTCTACGCATCGCCGGATGGCTCCAATTCGGCGATACCTGCACCGCGACTACGTCTACGGCTGCGAAAGCCCGACCCTCCCAACCGCCATCCCCACCACGTCCCGCCCAAGTCCCAATACGCTTCGCTCGAAGAATGGCTGCAGCAAGATGACCCGTTGGATGGCGAGGAGGCGCTGCGGATAACCAAGGAAAAGGCCGAGGACGAGGCCAGACGCCGGTTGCAGATTGTTGAAGCCGCTGAGCACGGGGTGTTGAGCCAGGAACGATGCAGTGTCTATGCGCCCGAGGCTGCACCCGAGCCGCCTACTCAGTACGGGCACTGGGATCATGTGGTTGCACATGCATTGAACTTCAACAAACTGCTCAAGGAAGAAAAGGCTTTCCACCGCCGGACGGCCAAGATTCTGGCTAGAGAAGCCTACGAATTCTGGAAGAACAAGTTCAAGCGGAAGAGCCAGGATGAAATCGAGCAAGAAGAGACGGAGCGTCAAGTGTTGAGATACAAGCAGCTTGTGAAAGACGTCAAGGATGCGTGGGGCTTGGTCAAGGTGGAGATCGACAAGGAGCGTGTGGCCAAGTACGAAGAGGAGCAGCTGCAGCTCGGACACAAGGCCATGGATGACATGTTCAACCAGGCGCAGGAAATTCTAGGCGGTCGCGTTGCCGGCGATGGCGCATCCTCGCTAATCAGTGAAGACCGGGAATTCGACGACATGGAGGATTTCGAAAGCGGGGTCTCGCATACCTCTGAAAACCAGCTTGATGACGATGTCATGTCTTCAAGCTCGGATAGCGAGCCAGAAGACGAGCAAGACGACGATGCAAACCTCACTGCTGAACAACTACGCGAGAAATATGGTCAGCTTCCTGATCTGCCAGCTAGCAGCTCCGAGTCAGAGGCGGAATCTGGAGATGAAGATGATGAGGATGAAGCAGAACATTCTGAGGAGGGTACCCCAGCACCCACTCCCGATCCGGACCTTGACGCTGAAAGTCACAACGAGCCTTTGGAAACGCTCACGAATGGATACCATGGCAACGGTGATGACGAGGATGAGGATGAGAACAAGCCTGGTTACATTGATCCGGCTACAGTCGAGCTCGATCAGGTGGATGACGCCCTCATGGATTCCGACGACCAAGGCTCCGAGTCAGGTAGCGAAGCTTGGTCAAGCAACGAAGGCTCCGGAACCGAGGGCAATGATGAAGAGGCAGACGACTCAGAACACGATGACGATAGTGGGGAAGAAGATGTGGGCTTGATGGGATTCTTTGCGCCCAAGGACGTCAAAAAATTGAAGGAAGCCGCGAAAACCGCAGTCGAGGATGATGAGCCGAAGAGTGCGGAGCAAGAGACAGAGCAGGTCAATGGCCACGCTTCTATGCTTGCGGAACATGAGGAGAAACCTCGGGTTAATGGACATGGTGCGGCCGCTGAAACGGATGAGCCACATGTCAATGGCGATGTGGCGCCGTCCGACCCTGCCCCTTCCATTGAAGACGCGGAACCTGAACCATCGGTCGAAGCTACCGAGGCTACCCCAATGGAAGATGTTGCACATTCCAAGAGTGCTTCTCGATCACGCCACGCATCCTCACCGCCAAGAACCGAGGTGCCGTTTTTGCTACGAGGCACGCTGCGAGAGTATCAACATGACGGATTAGACTGGCTTGCAAATTTATACGAGTCTGAGACCAACGGTATTCTAGCGGACGAAATGGGTCTTGGTAAAACCATTCAAACCATTTCACTCCTTGCCTACCTTGCCGTCCGTCACGAGATCTGGGGGCCGCACTTGGTAGTAGTTCCCACTAGTGTTATGCTCAACTGGGAGATGGAGTTTCGAAAATTCCTACCCGGCTTCAAGATCCTCACCTACTATGGCGATATCAACGAGCGCAAAAGAAAGAGATTGGGCTGGCGCAACACGGGCAAGGACATGTACAATGTCGTCATCACATCGTACCAACTCATCCTCCAAGACGCAGCAGCTTTCAAGATGCGCCCTTGGCGGTACCTGGTGCTAGACGAAGCGCACAATATCAAGAACTTCAAGTCGCAACGTTGGCAGACTATGCTCAACCTCCGCACTGAACGGCGGTTGTTGTTGACTGGAACGCCCCTACAAAACAACATTGATGAACTCTGGTCGCTGCTTTACTTTCTCATGCCGGCTGGCTTTGCTGGCGAAGGCCGCATTGCTGGTTTGGAGGAATTCACACTAGCCCTCAAGAATCCTACGTCGCAAATTTTGGACCAGGGCCGCCAGCAGCTCGATGCTGAAGCACAGAAGATTGTCAAGCGACTTCATGAAGTTCTTCGGCCGTACCTGCTCAGACGGTTGAAGTCTGAAGTTGAGAAACAGATGCCAGGAAAGTATGAGCATGTGGTATACTGTAAGCTTTCCAAACGGCAGCGGCAGCTCTACGATGGATTCATGGGCCGTGCGTCGACCAAGGAGATTCTGTCCTCTGGCAACTACATGTCCATTATCAACTGCTTAATGTCATTGCGAAAAGTGTGCAATCACCCCGATCTGTTTGAGACGCGAGCCATTGTAACTTCCATGGCAATGCCCAAGTCCGTCGCTGCCCAGTACGAGATCAAGGATCTTCTCATCCGAAAGCGTTTGCAAGAAGACATGCGAGACCGGATCAATCTGGATGCTCTAAACCTCAACTTTGCCCGACGAGAACAGACACAGCTGGGCCATGCTCGACGGACTTATCCGATTCGTGCTACCCGGCCTCTGGAAGACCTGATTGAGCGCCAAACTCGGCGTATCAATAAATCAATCGAAGCGGCTACGTCTCCGCTGCACTCAACCATGGCAGCAATGGCCAAACGACAGCAGATTGCTGTTCGTGACCATTTGCAGACATGTGTCGCTCTCACACGCGCGCGCACCCAGTTCATGCCGATATACGGAAAGGACATTATCAATGCGGTCACGGTTGACTGGCACGAGTTCACGTTCGGTGCCATCACCGAGGGGAAGAAAGTGCCCAAGCCATCTCCTTATCGCACACACCATGCTCTACAACCGACGTACCACGGATTTGGTCAGGCGCATCTGCAACCAAGGCAGGAGGAGGCAACACAATACGACATTGTCCAGCGACATCACGGTCGTCTCGGCTTTAGGTCTCCCCGCTCTCAAGGCGTCTTGTCGCAGTGGCACGATCAGCAGATTACGCACTTTTACGACATGATTCCCACACTGGAGCAACGTGCTGAAGCCTTTGAGCCACTCACCACGCGCTTTACATGCGTTACGCCTGCTGTTACGGCCGAGGAGCTTGTTCCACTTACCTTGTCGAAACGCGGCTGCCAACTGATTCAGTCCTCAGAAGTAGCACACCAGCCAGACCCTTTCCACTCGTCACGCATCCGACAGTCTATTGCCTTCCCCGATAAGCGTCTGCTTCAGTACGATTGCGGCAAGCTTCAACGCCTTGCAACGCTGCTCCGAGACTTACAAGCTGGTGGTCATCGTGCTCTCATCTTCACACAGATGACAAAGGTCCTTGATATCCTCGAGCAGTTTCTCAACATTCACGGCCATCGCTACCTGCGTCTCGATGGTTCGACCAAGATTGAGCAGCGCCAGATTCTTACGGACCGCTTCAACAATGATCCGCGCATTCTGTGTTTCATCCTGTCTTCGCGATCAGGAGGTCTCGGCATCAACCTCACGGGTGCCGACAGTGTCATCTTCTACGACCTTGACTGGAACCCGGCAATGGACAAGCAATGCCAAGATCGTGCCCATCGAATCGGCCAGACGCGCGATGTTCACATCTACAAGTTTGTGAGCGAATACACTATTGAAGCCAATATCCTGCGCAAGTCGAATCAGAAGCGTCTTCTCGATGATGTCATCATCCAAAAGGGTGACTTCACCACTGACACGTTCAACAGAGTGACTTGGCGGGATGCATTGGACGAGGACATGGGCATCGACACGACAGACGAAGCTGGCGCCGCCATGGAACGTGTGCTTGGCGAAAAGATTGGTCTCTTAGGCGATGCACGCGTCATGGGCAATGTAGAAGACACTGAAGATCGTACCGCGGCGTCGATTGCCCAGAAGGAAATTGTCGACGAGATCCAAGAAGACCGCGTCGACTTCAATGAGAGTATCAACGCCACAAGAGCTGCTTCCGAAGCCGCGGCCGCCTCCAAAGACGAAGACGAGCTCGACATCAACGGCAACGAAAGGGAAAGAAGACACGTCGATGAATACATGCTTAGCTTGTACCGCGAGGAATACGGCAAAGAACCCTATCGGCCTCCGACCGATCGCCAAAAGAGGAACCGCAAGGGTCAGGATCCTCATGTGAGGCAGAGGAAGAAGAAGTACTAGAGCATTGTCTTGTTCTTCGTCGCCATATCTATATACATTGTAATATCGCGATTTGCGAGAGAAAATTAGTAACATACATATCACAACATCAATGCCAACCCTTTTTGTATTTGTACGATGTAGCTATTGTATATATGAGAGATGGAGATGTGGAAGGAAGTAGATGTGGAGGATGAAGATGGAGCATTGCATGTGCATGGGCATAGGCGTTTTCGATGATTTCTTCGCTCAACCATTTGAAGAATTCCAAGCAAGCATGATGTATGAGTATCTACTCACTGGCTGATTTGTGACAGTGGTGACTAGTGTGCATAGTACGATGTTGATTTTACGGTGCAGAATAAAGCACGATGCTCTTTTGTTTGTACAGCTGAGTTCAAATCAGATCTCAAATACATCACTGACCCTCACCACCTGCCCGGTCGCCATGCTCCTATTCCCACAAATACCCGTCAAAATACTCAACGCGCCATCAACATGACTCTCAGCTCTCATATCTTGATCAATATCCGCGCCTTGTTCTCCAAACAAATCCGCAAGCAAAACCTCGTCGCCGCCTCCATGCGCACCTACACTGTCCGGTATCTCGACCTCAACCGGCTTCTCAAACAGCTTTCTCAGCGTGATACTCCGCTTCTCGAGGCTTCCCTCCAGCGACTGGTCACCCCCACTATTCACATAGCTATTCTCCACAACCTCCATTTCCAGACGGCCCCCCGTCCCATTGAACGAAACGCGGAACCCTTCCCACGGCGCATACGCAGTCAGTGAGTACGTGAGCACTGCGCCATTGCGGTACCGCACCAGCAGCGACATTGTATCTTCGATGCTAATCCCATCGCCAAACACCGACTGATCCCTATAATATGCATCTTCATGCTCGGCATCCAGATACATATGCTTCAGCTTGTCGTTGCGCTCCAGATGCAGCGCAAACGGATCGTGGGCCGCGACCTTGCTTCCATGGGTGCGCGTGTAAAACCCCGTCACGCCTCTTTCCTCTGCGTTCTCGCGCCCGTAGAACCGGAGGTCTCCCTGCGCGTACACGGTCTCTGGGCGGGATTGCAGCCAGAAATTGACGAGGTCGAAGTGGTGCGTCGATTTGTGTACGAGCAGGCCCCCTGAATTGCGCTTGTCACGGTGCCACCGCCGGAAGTAGTCGGCGCCGTGAGACGTGTTCAGCATCCATTCAAAGTGGATGCTGGTTACGCGGCCGATGGCGCCGCTGCGCAGGAGCTCCCACACCTTGGTGTTGTGGGGCGCGTACCGGTAGTTGAAGGTTACGCGGACGGTGCGGGCGCTTCGCTCGACGGCGTCGAAGATGTCGCGGCACCGCGAAGCGTCGATGGTCATGGGCTTCTCGGTTACCACGTTGCAGCCCAGGTCCAGTGCTCGCACTATGTACTTGTTGTGTGTACGGTCGATGGTGGTGACGATGACTTCGTCCGGGTGTGTCTCGTGGATCATGCGGTCGATGTCTTGGGCCTTGAACGTGGGGACGGCGGCGTGGCCCAGGGCTTGGAGCTGCGTGTTTGCATAGTCCAGGCGGGTTTGGTTGGTGTCGCATAGCGCTACAATGGTAGATCTGGCTTTGTAGGTTGTTGCGATTGCTGTGTAGAAGAATGACGAGCGTCCGCCAGTGCCGACTATGGCGTATTTCTTCTGTTTCTTCGCAGTCTCCGCCATAGTTTCCAGAACCGACTAACAAACCAGATTCGAGTATGTAGAATCCCTAGTGTATGATTCAAACTCCCTTCTTAATGTCTTGCGAACCACCAAGTGACGAGGTTGATCGGTATAGAGCTACCCCGGTCGCGCCCCTCGTTCTTCGGTACAGCGGACTCCGAATCCTACAACTTTATCAGGCAAACACGTCGATCATGCCCTTTTGCTGTCAGCGCAGCGGCATGGAAACCGGTCTTTGTTGTAGGTACCCCGCAGAATTCACCCCATGGGGGGGGGGGTCCAGCTAAAAGGGGACGACGGCAATAAGGAGGATGTGTGCGGGGGAAACGACCTTTGCATGATATTCTGCATGGATTTCTGCGGTTATAGGCTGTGTAATTGTATAGGAGAAGGTGATACGTGGATGATTGTGTGGTTGAGGATGAGGGACGAAAGGAGTCCAATCAGCAGACGAGTGGCCAAGTGTGAGGCCAGTCGGTATTCCAAGCCGTCAACCAAGTTGACAAGTCCAAGTGCACGGCTCAGATTTTCCGAGGCAAGGAAATAAGCTGATAAGTAGTTGAACTTGTCCTTGGTGTCTTGTTCCATAGGACCCTTGGATAATTTGATTCTTGTCCCCGCAAACCGCCATGGCGACTCACGCTGAAAGCCCCAAGGACGACGCCATTACGCATATCGAGCACGCGGCACCTGTGCACACAACGGAAAAGGGAGATGCGGCTGCTAGATTCCTAGCTGACGCCCATGTAGAGGATGCGTCGTTCTCTTACGAAGAGGAACAAGCAGTACTTAGGCGCGTGGACCTGCGTGTCCTTCCGCTCCTCCTCGGCGCATACTTCTTCCAGCAGCTCGACAAGTCGTCTCTGTCCTACGTCTCCATCTTCGGCATCCAGAAAGATGCCGGTCTAGTTGGACGGCAGTACTCCTGGCTAGGATCCATCCTTTACCTCGCGCAGTTAGTCATGCAACCACTCGCCGCATATCTGCTTGTCAAGCTACCCACAGGCAAAGTCATTGCAGCAGCCATTTTCCTGTGGGGAAGCAGTCTGGCTATCATGTCGGCTTGTACAGACTTCCCCAGTCTCCTGGGTCTGCGCTTCGTTCTCGGCTCTTTCGAAGCCATGATTGCGCCTGCTTGCGTTGCTACGACGACTATGTGGTGGCGCCGCTCTGAGCAGACTCTTCGCACTGCATACTGGAATGCTATGAATGGCGTTACCTTCATCATAGGGTCGTTGTTCACATACGGCCTTGGACATATCAACAGCGAGACTCTGTACAAGTACCAGATCATCTTTATGTTCTGTGGTCTATTGACAGTAGTGTATTCGCTGGTGGTTCTGGTGTTTATGCCCGACAGTCCGATGAAGGCCAAGTATCTGAACGAGCGAGAGCGCTTCATTGCTGTTCAGCGCTTGAAGGCCAATCAGATGGGAATTCAGTCTGGGCAGTGGAAGTGGGAGCAAGTTTGGGAGGCTTTGATAGATTTCAAGACGTGGTGCTGGTTTGTTGCCATCATCGCCATCTCGTGAGTCATCTTTCCTCACTTTCTGCGTTTTTTCTTTTTGGATTTGTGAGAGAAAGTTACTAAACTCCACGCAGCATTGCAAGCGGCGGTATTTCTACTTTTGGCAATCTCATCATTCGAGACTTTGGCTACACAAACTTCCAGTCTATCCTGTTCAACATCCCCTTTGGCGTGATCCAGATTGTTTGCATCGTTGGTTCTGCCTGGGGTGCGTCGCGCTGGAGCCGTAAAGGCGTTGCCATTGCTCTCGTCGCGGTTCTCCCCATTGTAGGAACAGTCATGATGTTGACGGTACCACGTCGACATAAAGGGGTGCTGCTATTCGGATACTACCTCGTCTCCTGTCTGGCAGCAATCACACCTCTGATATATGCCTGGCACGTTCAAAATACGGCTGGCGACACGAAGAAGAAATGCACCTCAGCCATGGTGTTTATCGGCATGTGTACTGGTAACGTGATCGGGCCTCTACTCTACTCAGTCGACGATGCGCCACTCTTCCGCCCAGGTCTCATTGCAAATCTCGTCATGTTTGCCTTGGTCGCTGTGCTCGCGCTCCTGATTCCTGTGTACCTGGCGTATCTCAACAAGAGACATGCGAAGAAGCGAGCGGCCATGGGGAAAAGCGCCGTCCGCGTGGACGAGAGTATGTTACGGAAAAAGGAAATGACACACAAGGGAACGGAAGTTAAGGCGCAGGAACAGATTCACGGGCAGGACAATGGGTTCTCTGACTTGACGGATATGCAGAATGAGGACTTTATCTATGTATATTAGAGGATGTACTCCACTGCGCTGTGAAAGCTGCTGCGTGAGCACGTCGAAATCACTCAAAAATTATTCAATATGTTAGAGGACTACGAGTCACAGCAAGCAGATGGTATCATTCAAGGTTGTTATCTTCAGCCGTACAAGCAAGTATATCGAAACGTCGGTGTAGAAGTGGAATTCGAGAAAGAAGGTGATTCGAGGGAATTTCCTTCTGGCGCACACTTGCGGCGGGTGTACCTGCCTCGCCCCAAGTGGGGCACAACGTGGTAGGGCCGGCCGCTAGGCTCGACCACGCCTTTCCTTTGCAACCATAGTGCCTTTCCTCCTATCCTCCTCCATCTCAATTGCAACTTTGCTGGCATTCTCGCAGTTGTAGAGATATTACACTCATCTCGGGGCACGCTTCCTCTTCCGTATCTACCTACCTTTTGAGGTATTATGGCGGGTAAGTAAGCTTAACCCCACAACGCACTGTTAGCTACCAAATGCTGACGCATAGCCGTCATGTTGGAATTCCTCAGACCAAGATTGACGACGTCCGACAACAGCCCGAGCGCAAAACGCCGTAACCCTGCTTCTTGAGTCATGCCCATGCAGACCACCCTGTGAGACTGGCGTCACTACGTGCGCCGTTCGTTTACCGCTCCCCTGCCACTAGCGAGGTAACTAGGTTGGCCGTCTTATCTACCTATTCTAGTTCTAATACGAGAAGTAGGCCTTTTGTGATTAGGGAACAAGTACTACTGCTGTGTGGCGTTTCCCCAAGACTTGCTAGAGAGCCGCATGGCCGCTTACCCTAGAAGTAGGTGGAAACTGGCTAAATTACTTCGACTGGACACACCGACATGGTTGCGCTGGCGTCAGGCAGCCGCATCAGAGTCAGGTTCCTTGACGCTGATCGTTGTGTTGGCGCTACAGTGTTCCGCATCAAAGGCGGCGGCAAAAATTGTGTGCTCTATACGGACGACATACGAGCAGAGATCTGGTGGGTGGACTCATTGGTGCAAAATCCAGCATTGCTACCTTGAACGCCTAGAATATTCCAGCTCAGCTACTGCATGCATCTGGGCACTACATTTGCAACTGAGAAAGAGCCCTATAGAGAAGTCCCGAGCAAAGCCGAAGGCATGCGCGAATTGCTTACATGGCAGAGTAAGCAAATCCTCAAACGACATCATATCCTCTTCACATGTCTGGAATTTTGAACACAACAACGCTTGGATAATGCTTTCTGTGTTCCTGGAATTGCCCATCTACCTTGATGGGTCGCGCACGTGTATACAGTTCCGTGTCTACATTGGATCGGCGACGGTCCAGTTCGGCCGGCCTCGATGTCCCCACAGATAACAACAATTTCCCCAGGAATCTGGCCATGAGATTCGCGAGGCGCCCGCCTTGTATGGCTTCAAGATTGATAGTCACATACAAGCGTCTTAACTGACGCCAGAACAGCACGTTCATCAGCACAGTCATGAACGAAATATGGGTTATCAAGTTGTTGATCACGTCATACATATTAGAACCGCACTCATTGCTTCTATCTTCACATACGCCTATGGGACCGATACGCCGAAGTCGGTGCGGGGGGAGACTGAGCTCCCCTTGACTTGAAAAAACAGTGGAGAATAGGTGGAGAAAGACACGAACAAGTTGGTAGAAGTTTGCGCCAAGACGGCTGTTCACAAAGAGGTGCTTGTTAGGGTATTCACATTACTCGAGCAAACTGATGACAACAGCACTCTGAACCTTGACCCAGGCCTCCAACGCTCAGATACCAAGATTGAAGACGACATTTATCTGCGGAGTCTAGTCTCGGCACTGTCAGCACCTTTTTCACAAGGGCTCAGCCGAACAGGACAATGCGATCCTCACACCTACAAGTCGTCATTCGTTTTGTATACTCTACACCTAAGTTGCGGATTCCGGGTTGATCTCTTGAAGCGCATTACCACTTTTTCCTGTACTGTCGATCACAATTCGTGCGACTCCATAGATCAACATGGAGAAACTACTCGGTCACTTATGCACATCCAAGCACACCCGCCATGGCACCGAGAGAGCTGCTCCACCAGAGCGCCTACTCCATTCCTAGTATATCGTTCCCGACAGTGGCAAAGAAGACAACCTACAAGCAAGTCGTGCTATGCAACAAAATCCCACACAGTCAGACTACGGACATACAGGCGAATATACAATAATACCGCAACACCGCATGCGCCGTCGGCGGTGCCCACACGCCACTTCTTACGCAACACTCGTTATGCACCTGTGCAACCCCTACCACTGCCTACTTACTACCTATCTACTACTAGTTTGTACATAGCAATAGGGTAGACCCGTGCGCCTTTGTCTCACCATTGTCCACCCTTGCCCCCTTTGCGCCATTACCCGTATAACGCGCTCGTCGCATTGGCCAGATCGTCACACCGATTTCCCCAGATGGCGCCGCGCCCGTCACCGCCGCGGCCGCCGCTGCTGCTACTGCATGCCCGCCTCGCTGCAGTGTCAGATCCACCAGAAGGGAAAAGAGCTTACGAAGTGTCGGCCCTGAGCATATCTAGCATGTACCAGCGACAATCGGTGGGTTTTTGTGGTCTGACGTCTGGGGGCCATGTGGGGATATGCTGAGGAGGGTAAAGGCGGGGTAAGTAAGTAAACGAATCAAGACGATCTTGCGCTGTTGGAAAATTTTCAGGAATTTGTCAAGGAATTCACAAGTGCTCGTGAAGGGGAGGCGTTGACGTCGTTGATACCTGGAGGTTGCGCGAGTCCAGAGGTGTTTTCCGAGTCGTGGGTTGCGGGAAGGATTGCTTTTGGACAGGGTACGTGGTTGGTTGTTTTAACTAGCCCCACCACAAAGTGCGCGCGACCACAAAGTGCGCGCGCGCCTTACAACCACCTCAACCTCAACGCGTCGTATCCCCACCACCATGGCTAATATTGAGGCTGCGCTTGCAGCTATTAATGCCCTAGGACCTGATGAGCCTTTTTCGTATACAGATATTGCAAAAAAATATAGTGTTGTTCGATCTACGCTTACCCGAAGACACCAAGGCCTACACGCCTCACGCGCGATAGGTGGCCAAAAACGGCAGCTCCTCCACCCACAGCAGGAGCAGGCCCTAATCGCCTATATCAATCGACTAACAGATAGAGGCTTACCACCTACTCAGCCAATGATACGCAATTTTGCCTCACAGATCGCCAAGACTGAGGTTGGAGTACACTGGGCTAGTCGCTTCGTCCAGCGCTATCCTGATCAACTTACCTTAAGGTGGGCAAAAGGCCTTGATAACTGTCGCCACAAAGCAGATTCAAGAAGCAAATACAACCTCTACTTTAGCCTCCTACGCGATAAAATTAATCAATATCACGTCGAGGCGCGTCATATCTACAATATGGATGAGAAGGGCTTCATGCTTGGTATCGTAAGTCGTTCAAGGAGGATCTTTAGTAAGGCCTCGTACGAGGGCATAAGGAGGAGGACTACGATACAGGATGGCTCACGCCAGTGGATAACGCTGTTAGCCTGTATCTGCGCAGATGGATCTTGCCTTGAGCCTGCCCTCATATATCAATCAGCCTCAGGATCGATACAGGACACCTGGCTGCAGGCCCTTTGATCC